TTACTATTATAAATTTTGGAGATGATGTTTTGCTTTTTACAATTTATACTTTTTATTTCTAACTTATATATAAAATTTGATAACACTCGGTGCAGTAGTTTTCGAGATTGGCTGTCTAATAAAAATTGACACATACGATAAAGAGGCGGTTACCTTTAGGAAGTAAAAATATTTGTCACCTTTGTGCGTATAAATAGAAAAATCTTTCAAAAAATGGAAAAATTTAAAAAAATTAAAAAATCGGAAAACTCTAAAAATTGAAAATTCGAATATCTCAAATTCGAAAAGTAAAAGAATTGAAAACTAGAACAATTGAAAACTGAAAAAATTGCATATTCGACGAATCGAAAAACAAAAGAATGGGAATGTCTAAAAACTGCAGAATGGAAAAGTTGAAAAATCGAAAATTCGAAAAATTAGAAATCGAAAATCGAAAAATCAAAACATCTAAATTCGAGAAATTGAGAAAGTTAAAAATTCGTATATCGAAAAATCGAAAAGTAAAAATAAATGAAAAGTCTAAGAACGGTAGAATGGAAAAATTGAATATTGGAGAAATTGAAAACCAACAAATTGAAATATCTACAAACCGAAAAATGGAAAAATTGAAAAATCAAAAATCGAAAATCGATAAACTGAAAAATCAAAAAATCAAAACATGGAAAATCCAAATTTAAAATCTGTAAATTCAAAAAATCGAAAAGTTAAAAAATTGAAAAATTGAATATCGAAAATTCGAAATGTGGAAGAATTGAAAGTCGAAAAATGGAAGACTGGAAACATTGAATATTCCAGAAGTCGAAAAATAAAAAAATGGAAATGTCTAAAACCCGCAGAATAGAAAAATTGAAAATTCGAAAAATCAAAAATCGAAAAATCAAAACATCGAAAATTCGAGAAATCGAGAAAGTCGAAAAACTGAAGAATATAAAAATCGAATAATCGGGAAATAGAAAAGCAAAAAATTAATGTCTCTAAAAACTGAAGAATGGAAAATTTGAAAAATGAGAATTCGAAAAATTAAACACCGAAAAACTGAAAAATCGAAAAATCAAAATATCGAAAATTCTTGAAATCGAAGATCCACATCTAAAATTCGGTAATTCGAAAAACCGAACAAGTCTTCACTAGAAAGTCGAAAAATCGAGAAATCGAAAAACCTGAAAGTGAAAAATTTCAGATCACAATATGGAAAATTCGAAAAGTGAAAATCGAGAAACCGAAAAATTGGGGAAAAATGGAAAAAAAAACGAAAAACTGAATTGAACAAGAAAACATGGAAGTGTCTAATAACTGCAGAATAGAAAAATTGAAAAATCGAGAATTCGAAAAATCAAAAATTGAAAATCAAAAATTCGGAAGGCATAAATTTTGACTAAACTATTTTCTATCACTAAGATCACCTTAAAACATTTGAAGATTTCAGAGCATCAGATTTTGTTGTTATTCAATTTTGATTTTTTTTCAAAAATCTGGATATTTACGGCAAAAACTCAACGTGGATTCATAAACCACAAGTGCGTAAGCATCTTATTTTATAAAATTTAAGTAATATTTACTATTATAAATTTTGGAGATGATGTTATTCCATTGTTTAGCTTTTCACCATTTATACTTTTTATTTCTAACACTCGATGCAGTAGTTTTCGAGATTGGTTGTCTAATAAAAATTGACATAGACGATAAAGAGACGGTTACCTTTAGGAAGTAAAAATATTTGTCACCTTTGTGTGTATAAATAGAAAAATCTTCCAAAAAATGGAAAAATTGAAAAAAATTAAAAATCGGAAAACTCTAAAAATTGAAAATTCGAATATCTCAAATTCGAAAAGTAAAAGAATTGAAAACTAGAAAAATTGAAAACTGAAAAAATTGCATATTCGACGAATCGAAAAACAAAAGAATGAAAATGTCTAAAAACTGCAGAATGGAAAAGTTGAAAAATCGAAAATCGAAAAATCAAAACATCTAAAATTCGAGAAATTGAGAAAGTTAAAAATTCGTATATCGAAAAATCGAAAAGTAAAAATAAATGAAAAGTCTAAGAACGGCAGAATGGCAAAATTGAACATTGGAGAAATTAAAAACCAACAAATTGAAATATCTACAAACCGAAAAATGGAAAAATTGAAAAATCAAAAATCGAAAATCGATAAACTGAAAAATCAAAAAATCAAAACATGGAAAATCCAAATTTAAAAACTGTAATTCAAAAAATCAAAAAAAAAATCTTCCGGAGAGTCGAAAAATCAAAACATTAAAAATCGAGAAATCAAAAATGTGAAAGAAAGATCTAATCTAATATCGAAAATTCGAAAATCGAAAACTCGAGAAATCAAAAAATTGGGAAGTAAAAAATGGAAAGAACGAGAAACCGAATAATGGGAGAATTAAAAATCGAAAAGTAAAAAAACTTAAAATTCGTATATCGAAAAATCGTAAATTTGAGAAATCGAATACTAAAAAAAAAACTTAGATCACGTCATTATTTTTTGGGGAGGGTAAAAAGGCATAAATTTTGACTAAACTATTTACTGTCTCTAAGACAAGCGTAAAACATTTGAAGATTTCAGAGACTCCTCCAGGCCAAAGCGTCTGACGACATGGAGAATTCAGACTCGGAACCAAAGAATGCACTGTTGCAAAATGAAAACCCAAACAAGCACATCGATGGAACTCGGAACGAAATCTATAGGTCGCAGCGCTCACACGCCCAAGGGAGAACGCAGCCGCATAGATACAGGGCAGACTGACCTCATCCTTTTAAGATGATGAACCTCATCCTTTTAGGATGATGACCCAGCGTCTAAGGGCCAACAGAACCCCCCCAGGCCAGAGCGTCTGACGACGTGGAGAATTCAGTCTCGGAGCCAAAGAATGCACTGTTGCAAAATTAAAACCCAAGCAAATGCACCGTGAAAACAAAGCATTTGCACCACTGGAGCTAAATTGGCAAGACCCAAGTTAAGTTAGTAACACATACAATATACAGTACAAAATGCTTCAGTTACAAAAGTTACAATATACAAATTTCTCCAGTTTGTCACCAAAGTGCGATGACTTTGTTCGCTCGTTGTTGTTGCCCAGCAAGAACCAAACAATACGAGGAGGTCTGGAGTGTCTCTTGCCATTAAAAGAGAGAACTAGGGTTTGATATCATGGGTGAAGGACACCGTATTTTGTAAATTTGGACGCCGTACTTTAAAAATGATACATATGGTATTTTGTGAATTATGAACGCAGTACTTTGTATATTCTAAAACCGGACTTTATCAGTCCTGAATGCATGTTATTAACAACATATTTCAAAAAAATTGGGCATTTTTGGAAAAATATCCACTTTCCTTCGTGTTCACAGCACTTAATACAAAACATTTTCGCTAATATTTATTAATAATAAATTAGAAATTCGCGAACACGTGCTACTTTTAAGCCAAAACGGAGCTCCAGTGTTATTGCTACCAGACCGGAATCAAAACTGAACACAGAGGACGGAAAAATGGACCTTTTATCAGGTAGCTCACGTGACAGTGACGTCATCGTACGTCACGATGAGATTGCAAAAATTATTTTTCATATTTTAGATCAGAAATTGCACATTTTCGGCGTTAATTTAACAACGTTTAAACAAACTAATTTGTTTTTGCTAACCACGTGTTCTTAAGAAAATGGTTTTCGGTTTAATTATCATATATTAATAGTTATCATATTTAAACATTATGAATTATATTAATTATGTTTAAATTTTATTTAATTATATCGCGAAAATGTATAGCTTTGACCCACCAACTTCAATCGTTTCGAAAATTTATCCAAAATGTTAACATTGTCGACCAAACGAATCACGGAATCCGATAAATTGAAACTGAAGTCGTACTTACCCTGTTTTCGGTCCTTTTCGGAAAAATATCCATTTTCGTTCGTGTTCACAGCACCAACACAACATATTTTCCGTAATATGTATTAATAATAAACTAGAAATTCGCTAAAACGCTCCATTTTTACGCCAAAATGAAACGACGATCTTGCCGCCATCAAACAGAAATTAATACTGAACACAAAGGACCGCAAAACGTGACCTTTATACAGGTAGCTCAGGTGACAGTGACGTCATCGTACGTCACAATGAGACTGCAAAAATTATTTTACATATTTTCGCCGGCAAAATGCATATTTTCGGGGATAATTTAACATTGTTTAAACAAATTGATTTGTTTTTAATAATTTCGGGTTTGTAAGAAAACGAGTTTCGGTTTAATTATCATATATTGATGCTTATCATATTTAAACATTATAAATGATATTAATTATGTTTAAAATTCATTTATTTATATCGTGAAAATGTATAGCTTTGATCAACCGATTTCAATCGTTTCGAAAATTTTCCCAAAATTTAAACATTGTCGAGTGAACGAATCACGGAATCCGATAAATTAAAACTGAAGTCGAACTTACCCTGTTTTCGGTCTGCAATATTTCAAAATTCAGTTTTGCAATTCTTGATTCAATCAATAAAATAAATTGACTCAGTGATTAATTTTTTTGAGACACCCCCTATAAGCAAAACTAAAAACTATGAATGGAATGATAAATCACAAGTATAGTCTCATCCTATTTTGGACATTTTAAATAGGATTCATTTGTCAAAATTTTGGGCTGACGTCATCAATTTTTTGGAGGGGATAAGTAAATATATTTAAAAAAATATATATATTATGCTTATCATATGGTTAAAACATCTGCAAGATTTCAAAGCATTCGGTTTTGCAGATTCAAAATTAAATTGTAGGTGAAACGAAGTTCACGGGGTCGGCTAGTCAGTCAGTAAAAGAATTACTTTCGTATAAAATTTATTAACCTTTACTTTTGTCCATGTTATAAACAACATAGAATTTATAATTTGTGTATTTACATTTCTTACATTTTCCACAAAACATAAATAAGCATCCCTTGGAAGAACCATTTTGTGTTTTATTGTTTTACGATTTATCACAGATTACCTTATTGGGACAACACTCCGGATAAGGTTTTGAAAAATCCTTAGCACTGAGGTGACAGCCTGGAATATCGATCTGAACTTTATAACATCTGAGAAAAATTAATTTATACTATAGGGGAACAGTGACAACAGACACTTACGTTCTCACTGTAAAATAACCACTAGATCGACAGGTAGCTGAAATGCATGCTCCAGGAATTGTTTTTTGTTCTCCTGTTTTAAAATGTCCAACACTATCAAGATAACATCCCGTTTCACGAATTGCACTGCCGCTGACCATCGATTTTAGATATAAAAGACACAAAAGTGAAACAGACAAACAATAAAATATAAAATTCTTCATAGTCGAGTGTTTTGGGAGTCAAACATGCACGATCACCACTGGCTGCATAAATAGCTTATTTATGATAAATATAGTTTCACTCACTATATATACGTTATCATTTTTATAGTGATAATAATTATCGTAAAAAACACATTACGGAAGCAGAAATTATAAACTCATAATATATAATTACAAACAACTAATTTCACGCTGGGCCAATCTATGGATGACAAATATTTTTATTTGTAATTATTATCAAATCAGCTCATTGTGCAAATTCTTGTGATAAAAATTTACCGCTTTAGAAAACAATCACCGTTACTATTAGAATTTGAATCACTGGTTGTCTATGTTCCAGGCGCCATTTATTGAGAATTACTTGTACAATATAATTAGTTTCGATTTCATGATTTAAAAAAAACCGCACAGCAGATAAAATTAACAGTATTCACAAAATGTAAATCGATTATTTTCCAGGATACACATTCACATGTTCGTAAATGGTATGTCATTTAGCAAAATAATTATATGTTCATTTCTAGAGTGGAAGTGTGAAGTAATAGATCGTAGGCTATTAAAAAAAGCTATAATCGTATTTTTTTTTGTTATACTATTTTCCTACAGAGTCTTTTATAAGTAAGCGATAGCCCCACCCACCCACCCCTTCCTCATTTCAGTGATTATTCTTAATATTGTTCAGTTCTATCTTAGCAAATTTTAGCCCCGCCCACCCTCCCCTTACTTTCTTAGAAGGTATGTCATTTACCAAAGTCAGTCTTATTTTAGCAGATACTAGCTCCGCCCACTCTGGTTGTTCTCATTTTAACGATTTTATCTCTGTTCCGTTGAGATCCACTTTTCATTCAGACTAATTACAATGAGTCACTGAAAAGGAGGTAGGGTGGGTGGGCGGGGTTAATTATATGTTCTTTGGTATAGTGCGAATGGGAACTAAGAGAACGTAGGCTATTAAATAAGCTCTAACCGGATTTTGTTTGTTATACTATTTGCTATTATATTTATTTTTATTCCAGAAGAAAAAAATGAAAAACCGGTGGGTGGGCGGGGCTAAGTTTAAGTTTTCCTTCAGAGTCTTTTATACGTTTGTAAACAGTAGTCCCGCCCACCCTCCCTCTGTTTTCTTAGAAGGTAAGTTATTTGCCACAGTCTGTCTTATCTTAGCAAGTACTATCCCCTCCGATCACGCTTTATTTTCTTAGAGGGTATATCATTTACTAAAATCAGTCTGATCTTAACGGTACTAGCCCCGCCCACTCACGTTGTTCTCATTCTAACGATCTTTGTCTCTGTTCAGTTGAGATCCACTTTTCATTCAGACTAGATAGAATAAATCACTGAAATGGAGGTGGGGTGATTGGGCGGGGTTAATTATATCATTTCTTTTTTATTCTAGAAGAAAAAAATGAGAAAACGCGTAGGTAGGCGGGGCTAAGTTTAACTTTTCCTACAGAGTCTTTTTTTTATATGGAAGCAATAGCCCGCCCACCCACCACTTCTTCATTCCAGTGATTACTCTTAATATTGTTCAGTTCTATCTTAGCAAGTTTTAGCCTTTAGTTTTAAAAAGGATAAAAAGGATAAAAAGGATAAAAAGGATAAAAAGGATAAAAAGGATAAAAAGGATAAAAAGGATAAAAAGGATAAAAAGGATAAAAAGGATAAAAAGGATAAAAAGGATAAAAAGGATAAAAAGGATAAAAAGGATAAAAAGGATAAAAAGGATAAAAAGGATAAAAAGGATAAAAAGGATAAAAAGGATAAAAAGGATAAAAAGGATAAAAAGGATAAAAAGGATAAAAAGGATAAAAAGGATAAAAAGGATCAAAAAGGATGAAAAGGATGAAAAGGATAAAAAGGATAAAAAGGATAAAAAGGATAAAGAGGATAAAAAGGATAAAAACGATAAAAACGATAAAAAGGATAAAGAAGATAAAAAGGATAAAAGGGATAAAAGGGATAAAAGGAATAAAAAGGATAACAGGGATAAGAGGGATAGCAGAGATAACATGGATAACAGGGATAACAAGGATAACAAGGATAACAAGGATAATAAGCATAGAAAGGATAGAAAGGATTGAAAGGATGGAAAAGATGGAAAGGATAGAAAAGATAGAAAGGATAGAAATTATGAAAAAATTCAGGAACTTAGATCTCGACATTCTGATTCCAAACATACGGCGTAGGTCGGGTCGGGGTCGGGTCGGGGTCGGGTCGGTGTCGGGTCGGTGTCGGGTTGGTGTCGGTTCGGATAAAGGTTAAAAGGGATAAAAAGAATAAAAGAGATAAAAAGGATAAACAGGATTAAAAGAATATAAAGGATATAAAGGATATAGAGGATATACAGAGTATAAAAGATATAAAGGATATCAAGGATAAGAAGAATAAAAATAATAAAAATGATAAAAAGGATAAAAAGTACGAAAAGGTCGAAAAGGACGAAAAGGGTGAAAAGGACGCAAAAGGATGCAAAAGGACGCAAAGGACGCAAGGGACGAAAATGACGAACGGGACGAAAAGGACAAAAAGGACGCAAAAGGACGCAAAAGGACGAAAATGACGAAAAGGACGAAAAGGAGGGGAAAAGGAGGAAAAGGACGAAAAGGATAAAAAGGAAAAAAATTACGAAAAGGATAAACATTATGAAAAAATTCAGGAACGATCTCGACATGTTGATTCCAAAAATGTGGAGTAGGTGGGTCGGGGTCGGGTCGGTGTCAGGTCGGGTAAAGAATAAAAATGATGAAAAGGATGAAAAGGATAACGAGGATAAAGAGGATAATGACGATTAAGAGGATAAAGAGGATAACGAGTATAACGAGGATAACGAGGCCAACGAGGATAAAAATTATGAAAAAATTCAGGAACGTAGATCTCGACATGTATAGGGTCAGGTCGGGTAAAGGATAAAAAGGATAAAAGGATAAAAAATAAATAAAAAGGACAAAAAGGACAAAAAGGATAAAAAGCAAAAGAATTATAAAAAAAATCAGGAACGTACATCCCGAAATGCTGATTCCAAAAATATTGCGTAGATCGGGTCGGGGTCGGGTCGGTATCGAATCGGTGTCTACTAGCCCAACCATGCTCCCGCCCTCTATTTTCATAGAAAGTATGTCATTTGGCAGTTTTATCTTAACAAGTACTAGCCCCTCCCATCACTCTTTATTTTCTTAGAGAGTATGTCAGGTAGAGCGTAGGCTGTTAAAAAAAGTGATAATCGAAATTTTTTTTATATACTATTTGCTATAAGATTTATTTCTTATTTCAGAAAAAAAATTAAAAGAACGGATGGGTGGGCGGGGCTAAACTTAACTTTTTCCTACAAAGTATGTATTTTATAAACAATCAATAGCCCCGCCCACCCACCCTCTCTTCATTCCAGAGATTACTCTTAGGGCCGAATTCTGTAAAGTATAAAGGCACTTTGGTAAAAGGATTGTCCTTTACATAAAGATATTCCTATTCTCCAAAACGTAAAGGACCCTTATAGATCCGTTGGATAAAGGTGAAGTCCTTTATAGTTTCCCTTATGCAACGTATGGTCATAGGTGTCACTTTATGCAAATTATCTGTCAGTTTCATTAGTTTTATGTAGTGACCTTTTCTAAATAAAAAGGAATAAATGGAAAATCTATGATTATTTATCCTAGTGGAATTACAATAAAGGTATATATGAGTCAGAACAATGATGTCTTCGTCCAGTTTTATAATTTCGTGGTTTAAATTTGTTAATATTAGCAAAAAGCACTAAAAATTGTCATATTAAATTTAATTAAGACCAATTTGGTGGAAATACAAATACTTTTACGATGCTCCAAATAGACTGGTAACTACTAAACAACTTTGCAAAAACAACTCCTTTGGAGGAGTCTTTACTTATAAAAGACCAAAAAATCCATTAAAGGCCAGACTCCCCTGACCAGTTGCCACTCCAGTGTGTTGGTACATAAGGAGCCAGTGCTGATATCTCCAAAAATGTACATGATTTCATAAAATGTTTATTTTTTTTGAGTTTTTAATGTGTTACCATCATCACGAACCAACCTACGATCAAATAAATAATACTTTTACTATATGTCAGGCACAAAGACCACGACAAGAATTTCATACCTCATAAATTAACAAAAGTTAAGTTTAAAAATCTCCCCAGCCCGTCGCACCAACCAGACCGATATTGTGAAAATTTGAGGTTATGTACAATAGATTCCGTCTCTCTTCGTTCCTTTACATAAAGTCGAACTGACGCACAAGGATTCACTTTCACATTTCCTTTACGCAAATGCCTTTAACAAACGGATCCCTTATTAAAAGGTTAAGTTACAGAATTCGGCCCTTAATGTTGTTCAGTCATTTACAAAATCAGTCTTATCTAAGTCAACTTTCTTCTTTATTTATTCTTATTTAAAATAATTTATTTTGCTACTCCAATCAGAAAGAACGGATAATAATTGTGCTGTATCAATGAATACAGAAAAAAAGCTCTATTCAAAACTGCATTAATTATGTGATAGTGCCATTTAAAAAAAATCAAGTTGGCTTTATATCTCGAAAACAAATGAAGCAAAAAAAAATTTTTTTTGACGCATAATTAGAGCACAGTTTCCTATCCCCCTATACCTAATTTCAATTGATTATACAACTGGTTAGTGTAAATTTTTGTATTCTGAAAGCTGACGTCATTTAATAAATGTTTTAATGGAAAACACTGTCTAAATTTTGCTTCAGTAAATGTTTTCTTTTTTTTTTGAACTGATTATATAGGTTGTCTCAAAGAACTGTTTCTTTTTTTAAGGGAGGGAGGGGGAAAAAGTCCAGGTAGCTCAGATTACTGAAACTGAAATTAAGTTAAGTAAAAGAATTGTATCTCTATTTAGACACCAATATTGTAACAAAAGATGCAAAATGCACCCTTTTTTTGAATAAGGTGACAAATAAAAATAAGTGGTGTAAAATCTGGAAATCTTGCAGGCCACCGAATGTAATCTGTTTAAATTTGTCATGAGTCACCTCAAAATTTGGCGTAGTAAATGTCATTTAAATTTTATAAAATAACATACATACATAGGGGAGGTCTATGAATCCGTCTTGATATTTTCCTTTAGACATTCAGATCTTTGGAAAAAAAATATTAAAATTGTGTAACAAGATTTTACAATACCTATAGTTTTGCAAAGGAATTAAAGTTTTCGTAAGTTTGAAAGAAATTGATGGTTTTATCTCAAAATTTTACTGAATTTTTTTGCATTGTTTAAAGAAATTAATGCTGAACAAATTTTGAGTTTTATTCACTTTTAATCGTTACCTCCACAAGCACTAAATGTAATTTTTGAGGCAAATTTGTTGGTAAAAAGTACTTTCCAACTTATGAACGTCTGCATTTCCTGTATAGACTTTCCAAGTGGATAAAGGAAAATAAGTGTGCAACAGATATACCGAAACGAAAAATTAACTTCGTATGAAATTTATAAACACTTTTACCCATGTTATAAAGAATACAGAATTTATAATTGCTGTGACAATATTTTTAACATTTTAAACAAAATATGTATCTACAAATAAGTGTTCCTTTAAAAAATCATTTTGTGTTTTACTAATTTATGATTTAGTACAAATTACTTTGGGACAACACTCCGGGTAAGGTTTTGAAAAATCCGTTTTACCTAGGTGGCAGCCTGATGTATCTATCTGAATTTCAGGACATCTAAAAAAAGTAATAAATATATTACAATAGAACATTGGCAACAGAGAGACACTTACATTACAACTGAAAAACTACCACCAGAATCACACATTGTCCAGGAATAGATTTTTGTTCTCCTGTCTTAAAATGCCCAACGCTGTCAAGGTAACATCCTGTGTCACGAGTTACACTGCCGATGACCATCGATTGTAAGAATAGAAGACACAAAAGTGAAAAAGGCAAAGAATAAGGGATAAAATTCTTCATGGCTGGAGTGTTCTGAAGTCAGGCGTGTACTATCACCACTGGACTAATAACTAATTATTGCATATATATTTTTAATCACTAGGTTATCACTTTTGTAATTAAGTGGCTGCATATTTCGAGATAAGCAACAATAATAAACTGTTTATCATAAAAACACACATTCTTTACAAAAACAAGAGTTATACTAAAATCATAATAATTTACAAATTATTTTTACTTATTAATATATTTTTTGATTTCTGATATTCAACAATGAACTTCAAACCATTTAAATACAAAAGTCAAGATTACAAATTGATGGTGGGGATAATAACACAAAACTTGTTTACTTTTTTTCCAAATGGTTACAAAAAATCAACAACCATTACGTTTGAATTTTATTCTCAATTACATGCTGGAACACATGAAAATATTATGCAAAAAATTTATTCTTCCTGGCATACAAATTTTGGGCAACATTCTGGAAACGACTTGGAGTAATTCGGTTCACTCACGTAGCAGTTACTATTAGCACTGTCCATCACGGAAGCACAACTAAAACTCAAGTCGTTTAAAAAATACTTCAAATACTAGTTGACTAATTCAAGTCTTAAAATTTAAAATGTTTGTAAACCTGGTATAAGTTATCATCCCGCTAGGTCGGCATACAATTTGAACACAAGCATCTGGAATCGTCACAGTTTCATTGCTTCTTATGTGACCAAATTGGGATTCATAACAACCTCCCGCTTCTAGAAAAAAACCGTCATTGAAGAGTTTAGGTGTTTTCTATAATTGGTTTACTTCTTCCTGGATTTGGTAAACTGCTCATTATCGCTGCAGTAGCGGGCGAATTACATCCACAAATGTAATAAAGCAGAAGTAGTGGAATCAAGCAATTCATGTTGTGTACAACTTGAAAATTTTTTAGATTTGACAGATGGTGACAAAATCAGACCATTTGATTTTCAATAAAGATAAAAATGGAAGTTGACAAAATGCCTTGAAGCTTGGACAGTGTTTGAGTTTTAATAAGACGTCGTGGAAAGTATTAAAACATTACGAAATTTTAAAGTAACTACAGATTTTCGTCCTCACTATGAATCGGTTCTTAAAAAAGAAATGAAGAAATTTTGAGCACTATTTTTACTTTAAAAACACTTTTCATATGGACAACAACGTGGAAAAGGTTTAGAAAGGTCAAAAGGGTACACAGCGCAATCTGAGTATTCGTCCAAAGAGAAGGGAGTACAACTGAAATGTACAATTCTACGATTATTTAATTTTTTACAGTTTTTTTTACCTTATATATTCTATGGTTCCATCGGAAGAACACGTAGCTTGAGAACATTCTCCTGGCACTTCTGTTACTTGTCCTCCTCGTAAATGTCCTACCTCGTCCTCGTAACAGCCCCCAGGTCCTGAAAAATCAGTATAATATACGAGGTGATTAACTTAAGTTTCTTAAAATTTTTCAGTGTTTATTGCTTGATAGCCAGGCAACCAATAATTCAGCTCTGATTAACCCGATACCTATCTCCAGAAAACCGGAAGGAAGTTAAGAGCCCCAGAGATTCTTTAAAACTTAAAAAACACAAAAGATTCCTAAAATTGTTTGAATTTTTTCTAAATAGAACAGTCTGCGATTCTTTAAAATCTTTCAAGATTAAAGCAGTAGGAGCTGAGATCTTAAAAAATTTTCAAAATTAGCACGCTGGGAGCTCCTGAGAATGCCTCAAACTTTTTCAAAAACAAAGCATTAGAGGCCCCTGAAATTCTTTAAAACTGTTTCAAAATCAAAATACTGAAAGTCCTTTAAAAGTTTTCAAAAGCAAAATACTTTGAGCGCCTAAGATTCTCTCAAGCTCGAAAGCACTAGGGGCCTCTGAGAATCTTTAAACCTTTTTCAAGATCAAAACAGTTGGAGCCCCTGAGATTCTTTCAAACTTTTTCAAAATTAAAATACTAAGAGCCCCTAATATTCTTTAAGACTTTTTCAAAAGCAAGGTAATCGGAGTTCCTTAGATTAAAAAAAAAATCAAAATCAAGACACCGGGAACTCATGAGAATCTCTCAAACTTTTTCAAAAACTAGGCATTAGGGGCTCCTGAAATTCTTTGAAACTTTTTCAAAATTTAAACAGTAGGAGCCCTTGAGATTCTTTAAAATTGTTTCAAAATCAAAATACCAAGACTTCCTGAGATCCTTTAAAATTTTTCAAAATCAAAATATTTTGAGCGCCTAAGATTCTTTCAAATTTCAAAGCATTATGGGCCTATGAGAATCTTTAAACCTTTTTCAAGATAAAAACAGTAGGAGCCTCTGATATTCCTTCAAACTTTTTCAAAATCAAGATACTGGGAGCTCCTCGGATTTTTTGAATTTTTTTTCAAAATCAATACACTGGAAGTTCCTGAGGATCCCTTAAAATTTTTCAAAAAGAAGGCATTAGGTGCTTCTGAAATTCTTTGAAACTTTTTCAAAATTTAAACAGTAGGAGTCCTTGAGATTCTTTAAAACTGTTTCAAAATCAAACTACCAAGACTTCCTGAGATCCTTTAAAATTGTTCAAAATCAAAATATTTTGAGGGTCTAAGATTCTTTCAAATTTCAAAGCATTATGGGCCTATGAGAATCTTTAAACCTTTTTCAAGATAAAAACAGTAGGAGCCTCTGAGATTCCTTCAAACTTTTTCAAAATCAAGATACTGGGAGCTCCTCAGATTTTTTTTGAATTTTTTTTCAAAATCAATACACTGGAAGTTCCTGATGATCCTTTAAAATTTTTCAAAAAGAAGGCATTAGGGGCTTCTGAAATTCTTTGAAACTTTTTCAAAATTTAAACAGTAGGAGCCCTTGAGATTCTTTAAAACTGTTTCAAAATCAAAATACCAAGACTTCCTGAGATCCTTTAAAATTTTTCAAAATCAAAATATTTTGAGGGCCAAAGATTCTTTCAAATTTCAAAGCATTATGGGCCTATGAGAATCTTTAAACCTTTTTCAAGATAAAAACAGTAGGAGCTTCTGAGATTCCTTCAAACTTTTTCAAAATCAAGATACTGGGAGCTCCTCAGATTTTTTCAATTTTTTTTCAAAATCAATACACTGGAAGCTCCTGAGGATTCCTTAAAATTTTTCAAAAAAAAGGCATTAGGGGCTTCTAAAATTCTTTGAAACTTTTTCAAAATTTAAACAGTAGGATAGATGGATAGATAGAGAGATAGATAAGTTTATTGCACAACAGTAGGAGACCTTGAGATTCTTTAAAACTGTTTCAAAATCAAAAGATCAAGACTTGCTGAGATCCTTTAAAATTTTTCAAAATCAAAATATTTTGAGGGTCTAAGATTCGTTCAAATTTCAAAGCATTATGGGCCTATGAGAATCTTTAAACCTTTTTCAAGATAAAAACAGTAGGAGCCTCTGAGATTCCTTCAAACTTTTTCAAAATCAAGATACTGGGAGCTCCTCAGATTTTTTTGAATTTTTTTTCAAAATCAATACACTGGAAGTTCCTGATGATCCTTTAAAATTTTTCAAAAAGAAGGCATTAGGCGCTTCTGAAATTCTTTGAAACTTTTTCAAAATTTAAACAGTAGGAGCCCTTGAGATTCTTTAAAACTGTTTCAAAATCAAAATACCAAGACTTCCTGAGATCCTTTAAAATTTTTCAAAATCAAAATATTTTGAGGGCCTAAGATTCTTTCAAATTTCAAAGCATTATGGGCCTATGAGAATCTTTAAACCTTTTTCAAGATAAAAACAGTAGGAGCCTCTGAGATTCCTTCAAACTTTTTCAAAATCAAGATACTGGGAGCTCCTCAGATTTTTTCAATTTTTTTTTCAAAATCAATACACTGAAAGCTCCTGAGGATCCCTTAAAATTTTTCAAAAAGAAGGCATTAGAGGCTTCTGAAATTCTTTGAAACTTTTTCAAAATTTAAACAGTGGGAGCCCTTGAGACTCTTTAAAACTGTTTCAAAATCAAAATACCAAGACTTCCTGAGATCCTTTAAAATTGTTCAAAATCAAAATATTTTGAGCGCCTAAGATTCTTTCAAATTTCAAAGCATTATGGGCCTATGAGAATCTTTAAACCTTTTTCAAGATAAAAACAGTAGGAGCCTCTGAGATTCTTTCAAACTTTTTCAAAATTAAGATACTGGGAGCTCTTCGGATTTTTTCAATTTTTTTTCAAAATCAATACACTGGAAGCTCCTGAGGATCCCTTAAAATTTTTCAAAAAGAAGGCATTAGGGGCTCCTGAAATTCTTTGACTCTTTTTCAAAATTTAAACATTAGGAGCCCTTGAGATTCTTTAAAACTGTTTCAAAATCAAAATGCCAAGACTTCCTGAGATCCTTTAAAATTTTTCAAAATCAAAATATTTTGAGCGCCTAAGATTCTTTCAAATTTCAAAGCATTATGGGCCTATGAGAATCTTTAAACCTTTTTCAAGATAAAAACAGCAGGAGCCTCTGAGATTCTTTCAAACTTTTTCAAAATCAAGATACTGGGAGCTCCTCAGATGTTTTCAATTTTTTTTTCAAAATCAATACACTGGAAGCTCCTGAGGATACCTCAAAATTTTTCAAAAAGAAGGCATTAGGGGCTTCTGAAATTCTTAGAAACTTTTTCAAAATTTAAACATTAGGAGCCCTTGAGATTCTTTAAAACTGTTTCAAAATCAAAATGCCAAGACTTCCTGAGATCCTTTAAAATTTTTCAAAATCAAAATATTTTGAGCGCCTAAGATTCTTTCAAATTTCAATGCATTATGGGCCTATGAGAATCTTTAAACCTTTTTCAAGATAAAAACAGTAGGAGCCTCTGAGATTCTTTCAAACTTTTTCAAAATTAAGATACTGGGAGCTCTTCGGATTTTTTCAATTTTTTTTCAAAATCAATACACTGGAAGCTCCTGAGGATCCCTTAAAATTTTTCAAAAAGAAGGCATTAGGGGCTCCTGAAATTCTTTGACTCTTTTTCAAAATTTAAACATTAGGAGCCCTCGAGATTCTTTAAAACTGTTTCAAAATCAAAATGCCAAGACTTCCTGAGATCCTTTAAAATTTTTCAAAATCAAAATATTTTGAGCGCCTAAGATTCTTTCAAATTTCAAAGCATTATGGGCCTATGAGAATCTTTAAACCTTTTTCAAGATAAAAACAGTAGGAGCCTCCGAGATTCTTTCAAATTTTTATCAAAATCAAGATACTGGGAGCTCCTCAGATTTTTTCAATTTTTTTTCAAAAGATAAAGATACTGGAAGCTCCTGAGGATTCCTTAAAATTTTTCAAAAAGAAGGCATTAGGGGCTTCTGAAATTCTTTAAAACTTTTTCAAAATTTAAACAGTAGGATAGATAGATAGATAGATAGATAGATAGACAAGTTTATTGCACAGCAGTAGGAGACCTTGAGATTCTTTAAAACTGTTTCAAAATCAAAATATCAAGACTTGCTGAGATCCTTTAAAATTTTTCAAAATCAAAATATTTTGAGCACCTAAGATTCTTTCAAATTTCAAAGCATTATGGGCCTATGAGAATCTTTAAACCTTTTTCAAGATAAAAACAGTAGGAGCCTCTGAGATTCCTTCAAACTTTTTCAAAATCAAGATACTGGGAGCTCCTCAGATTTTTTCAATTTTTTTTCAAAATCAATACACTAAAAGCTCCTGAGGATCCCTCAAAATTTTTCAAAAAGAAGGCATTAGAGGCTTCTGAAATTCTTTGAAACTTTTTCAAAATTTAAACAGTGGGAGCCCTTGAGACTCTTTAAAACTGTTTCAAAATCAAAATACCAAGACTTCCTGAGATCCTTTAAAATTTTTCAAAATCAAAATATTTTGAGCACCTAAGATTCTTTCAAATTTCAAAGCATTATGGGCCTATGAGAATCTTTAAACCTTTTTCAAGATAAAAACAGTAGGAGCCTCTGAGATTCCTTCAAACTTTTTCAAAATCAAGATACTGGGAGCTCCTCAGATTTTTTCAATTTTTTTTCAAAATCAACACACTCGAAGCTCCAGAGGATCCCTCCAACTTTTTCAAAAACAAGGAATTTGAGGCTCCTGAAATTCTTTAAAAAAATTTCATAATTTAAACAGTAGGACTCTTGAAATTCTTTAAAACTTGTTTAAAATGAAGGCAATGTGTTAGGTTTGGGCAGCGTGTAGAAAAAGTTTTATTTTGGCTTAGGGTTTTTCTTGAGGATTGATATATATATATAAGTTTTAGCTTAAATTGGTTTTAGATAGAAATTTGAGTTTAATTGGTAGTATATAATTTTAAATTTTCATTATTTTGAGATTTAGCAATTATTCTTAACATAAACAAAATTTGTGCTAGCAGTAGCGGTTATACAAATTATGTAAGTAAAATTTTTCGGGATTAGTTAAAAGTTAATTTTTTGGATTATAATTTTAGTTTTTTAGGTGAAATTTAAAATTGAATTATTTTCTATATTAGTTTTTGAGGCTGTAAAATTTGTTTGTAGACTAGGATTAGATACCCTATTATTTCATATGTGAATTTTTTGTTCTTTGATTATTAGTAGTTATGGTCTTTAAAATTACAAAATTTGGCGGTATTTTAGTCTGTTCAGAGGAACCTGTTTTTTAATTGATGATCCACGATAATTTTTACTTTAGTTTTTAATTTGCATATCGTCGTTTATAAAAATTTTAAGAGAATAATAATTTTTATGATTTTTGATTATAAAGTATTTCAGATCAAGGTGTAGTTTATATTAAAGTTAAAATGGGTTACAATGAAATAATTTTTGGCTTTTTCATTTAAAATTTAAATTAAATTGGATTTGATAGTAAGTTCTTTATTTATGGGAATTGATTTAGCTCTAAAATATGCACATATCGCCCGTCGCTTTCATTTTAAAGTGAAATAAGTCGTAACAAAGTAGGCTTATTGGAAAATGAGCCTGGAATGATCAAATTAGAGCTTGAGAGAAGCATTTTATTTACACTAAAAAGTTAATTGTGAAATTCAATTTAATTTGAGTTTAGGGTGTTGTTTATTTTATTGTTGTTAAATTTTTATTGGAAATATATTAATTTTTATTATTTTTATTAGAAAAAATTTTGTTAACTATAGTTTATTGTATTGTAAGAGATTTTCTTTTAATTTTTATAAGTAGATTTAGTTTATTGTACCTTGTGTATCAGGGTTAATTAATTTAGTATTAAATATTTGGTTTTCCCGAATTTAGAAGAGCTATAAGTTAATTTATTTTGTTGTGGAATAACCATTTATAATTGATTTATAGTAGTGAAATGTTATTCGTTTCTAAATTTATCTGGTTTTTTAGGAAATTAATTTAATTATTTTAATATTAGGAAAATTATTTATTGTTATTTTTTTCTTGTTATTATGTAATGCTTGAGGGGATGAGCTTTTAAGTAAATTTTTATAATTTTTTGTTTAGTAAATCTTATGTAGGATTAGAATTTTTTATCATTAGGAGGATGTTATAATTGAAGATTTATATTATTTATTTTATTTTTATTTTAAATTTTTACTAAAATATTGGTTTTAATTTTGTTTGCTGTGTAATACTGATTAAATTAGTATATATTTTGTGTGTGAGTAAATTTGTTTTTTTAGACGATAAAAAGGAACTCGGCAAATAGTTGTTTCCACCTGTTTATTAAAAACATGTCTTTTTGTTGTTGATTTAAGGTCAGGCCTGCCCAATGATTATTTAAATGGCCGAAGAACCCCTCAAACTTTTTCAAAAACAACGCATTAGAAGCCCCAGAAATTCTTTAAAACTTCGTTGCAAAATTAAAATACTAAAATGAGTCTCTGAGATCCTTTAAGAGTTTTCAAAATCAAAATACTTCAAGCGTCTAAGATTTTTTCAAACTTCAAACTACTGCGAATCTTTAAAACTTTTTCAAAATCAAAATACCAAGAGCTCTTGAGGTTATGTCAAACTCAATATGTACCTTGTGAAATTTTTTATGATTTTTCGACCACCTTCGAAAATTAGCTAAAGACATTTTTTTGAAGAACTCAACCTCTATGAGTTATTTTAGGCTTCATTTCTTCGAAAACTCGTACCATTTTTGCAGAATCTCCGATTGAAGTATGTCAGTTTTTAGGATTTCTAAAGATTTTTTTTGTAGATTTTTTTTAAAAACCTCAAATTTTCATTACTCCCCCGCCCCCACGAAATTTTTGACCAAATCAAATTTTGATAAATATCAACCACCTTTGAAACTTAGCTAGAGACAGTTTTTGGTAGATTTTTTAGGATTCGATTTTAACATTTTACTTACTGCGTTTGGGATGTGGAAGAGAAACTGCAGTGGAAGCCAAAGCCGGCGAATCCATTTGCCAAATGCAGAATACCAAAATCAAACCAAAAATTTGAAACTCCATTTCTTCAGAAAGCATACTTGTCAAAATAAAACACCACTGTCAGTGCTAACTTGACTTAGAATTTATTCACGTTTTTTAATTGTTTACATAGGTATAATTTTAACACTTGTAAAATATACATTATCATAACTTTAGGTATATCGTGAAGGATTTTCTTTATACACATGTAAGACGATCACAGCATTTTGGGTACGGTTCTTTGGGATCTCCTCTTTTATAACATGGCGACTTTTTGTCGATGTGGGCGACTCCACAACTGAAACACAGTGAAAACTTAAAAACAGAAGTTTCATTGCTTATTTTGTTACCTCATGTATTCCATGCTTCCATCTGGAGAACACAAAGCTTGAATGCATTTTTCTGGAAGGGTTTTTTTCTGTCCGCCTTTTAAATATCCAGTCTCCTGTTCGTAACAACCCCCAGGTTCTACAAAATTAAAATCTTTGGCACGAACTGATAAACTAATATTGCTTACTGCGTCGAGGATTTGGTAGATTTAGTACTATAGCAGCTAGAATGGACGAATTCATCTGGCAAATACAGTAAACCATTATCAAAGCGAAAATTGACAACTTCATTCTGTTGAAGTATATTATAGTTGTCAAAATAGACATGACAAAAATTGGCAACAAACTTTTTTTAATTTGTTGGTAACGACAACACTTTGGATGTTCCACGTAAAGTTCTAAAAAAGCTCCCCATCCAAACGGAATGTAATTTTAAAGCAATTAAACCCCAAGCACCGCATCGACCCACAAATATTGTTCACATTTTAAGTGTGTTGTATTTTCTTTGTCAGCGTGACAATGGCTCGGGGCGGATGGTACTTTTGAACCGTTCTAATTAAGCAAGCTGATACTCCGATTCCAAGAGTTGAATAGTAAGAAATTTCGCAGTAGAGCTTTCGAGCACAATGTCCCATTTGTCTCGGCGTCAATCACATTTCGCAACAAAAAATAGGCATAATTTAAAGACAATAAAACGTCGAGGTGAGGAGAAGTTGAAACGTATTTGTCTTGATTATCCTCGAGCGTGTACAAAGCTCTAGCGGATATGGGATGATCCGGCTTGAAAGCTCCGGCGTACTTTATTATAAATTTCCATTTTTAACCGACTGATTTTGCAAACCTTGACATGATAGTCTAATCCCGCCCTCGGAACAGTGTTAATCTGGGTGTATTAAAGTAAGTAATGAAGAAGGTAGGGCTCGGTCGATGGTTAATTATGTTTCAAAATCCAATAAGTCTATGAAAGGTGCACTTCATGTTAAATCCATTTTATAACCAACCTATCCTGTCATGACAGGTATCCATATATCAAAATAAAATACGCTGCCAATAACGCATTAACTGGATTAGTTCGATAGGATAATGCTTTTTGCGCTCGAATACGTAAGGTACTTGCCGTTTTTTACAAACTTAGATAAACTAGGTAATTTTCGCTTGATCATATATTTCTCCTAACCAAAAATATATAAAAGCAAGAAAATTTACACTTGATGCATTATTTAGCACAAACTATTCTTGGACAGCACTGCGGATAAGGTCTGGACAGATCCTTTTTACTTAGGTGACAGTTCGGATCACGTGTTCTAATAAGAGCACATCTAAAAAAAGCGTAGTTAAGATTATATGTATAACAACGATAATAACAATATTAAATACTTACATTTTGAGCGAAATACTCTCGTCAGAATTACAAGAAGCAGAAGTACATGTTCCAGGAACTGTTATCGTCTGTCCTGATTGTAGATGTCCAGTTTCTTCAGAGTAACATCCTCCAGATTCTAAAAAAGAGACGATACTTTGTTCCGATTAAAATAAAATGTTAATGTTATATCACTTCTTTGTGGATGAGGCTCGTCAACGGCGACACTAGCGTCAACAATGGGGTGTAAATACAAAAGACACAAAAGTGAAAAAAGTAAAGAACACGAAATGAAAAACTTCATGTTTGGAGTGGTCTGAAGTCCAACACGTACTGATATATCTACACATAAACAAAATAATTGTTCGTTGACATTCACCAAGTTATCATTTTTGACAAGGTCAGCTTCTTGGAATCATATTTTGTTATACATCAATTTTTGAAGTTAAGTAATCTTAATCAACCAATTAAATTATCTTTTGTTGATTTCTAGTTCCATAAGTTTTTTTTGGAAAATTCGTTTAAAAATTTGACTTGATTGTCTTTTGTAAATTGTTGCATCTGGAAAAATAAAAAAACCAGAACGTTTCTTATTGAACTATATATTTTTATTTTATTGCTTTATGGTGTATTATCACAAACTATTTTTGGGCAACACTGGGGATACACTTTAGACATATCCACTTTACCTACGTGACAGTTCGGATCATTTGTTCTAATAAGAGGACATCTACAAAGAGTTAAGATTGTATAACAACATATATTATATAACAATAGCAGTGGCGGCTCGTGAAGTTTTCTTCAGAGGAGGCTCAAATTTGAAAACCAAATACTTTTTATATCCTTCATTATCTGAATAATTTTTTTGTCATGCTCACGAAAAGAACACTATAGATAAACTATTGCATCGATTAGTCTTTTCAAAATTGCCCTATTTTCACCAACTTTCTCGTTATAGTTCTCAATATCCCTCTTATGAGCGGAATCTAAAGTAGTAGAAGAAAATATGTGTTCCTGTGATTTTTCATGCCTTTACACTGCACATGAGACTGACTTCGTTGCTCATTCTCGTTAAGTATAAGTAATATTAATATGCCGATAATACCAGCTGTTTTTAACGATCAGAAATAAAACGCAAATAAATGATATAAAAAACACCTTAGGCTTTACGTAGGTACTAAAGCCTAAACACCATTCACCACTGAATAGGGAGCACGCGAAACCACCTCAATGTTTTTCCAATTTACACTCGATCGCGCGAGTTAATAAGAAAGAGATAAAATAATCCGTGCGACTTGATCTGAAAAGAGATGCACTAGCCGGAGGCTAGCGGCCTGAAGCGGCACCCCGATGAACATTTTAGCCAATGCAGTGCTGAATGACTATGCGTCAAGGTTGCGGTCTCAATAGTAAGATGCATTCTCGGCGGAGGCTAGCTTCTACGGCTGAAGCCAAACGCGGAGTGGTGTGAATTATGATTTAAGGGCGCAAATATAATTTTTTTCGATATTTTAACCTGATATATGATGAAAGTAAATTAAATCAAACAAAATATTCTGAATAGTAACAAATGTCTATAAAAATACAAATTCTTTCATCGAAAAAATTAGAGGAAGCTCAGCTCCAAAAAACAGAGGAGGCTCAGCCTCCCCTGCCTCCTCTGGGGAGCCGCCACTGAACAATAGTATTACTTACACCTGGAAATAAATATTCCCGCTAGGCTCACAAAAAGCAGAACTACATATTCCAGGGATCCATATCGTCTGTCCTGCTGTCATAGGTCCAGTTTCTCTACTGTCACATCCTCCAGATTCTAAAATTAGAGGTGATATTTTCTTCTGTTTACAGTAAAATATGAATTACTTAGTGGATGAGATCCGTTATGGGCGACACCGGCGTTAACTATTGGCTGTAAATATAAAAGACACAAAAGTAAAGGACAAGAGATGAAAAACTTCATGTCTGGAGTATTCTAACGTCTAACACGAAATGCAAAAAAATTGTTGTTGTTAATTGAATTTTGGGTGTATTTTTAGACAATTTTTTGGTGTAGTTCACTGGGTTATCATTTTTATTTATTAATTGTAGAAATAAGGAGATAATTGTTAGTGATAAAAAAACTGCAGTTGACACACGCTGTTTATGCTTATCTTCATTAACTAATAATTCAGAAAATATTTCTAATAAATGTCCGGCGAGGGCTGTTCTGTGCAAAAACTTCAAAGATTTTTTTCCCTCAAATTCTGTCAATTTTTTAATAATTTCCTTCTATTTTTTTATAATATTTTCTTTCTGTTTTTGTTCTCTTTTGTACCATGTATACGATAATTCACACGTGGTGGAAATTTTTTATTGTTTGTAAATTCACAGTTCATATTAGGAGTTTAATCGTTAACTAGTTCTAACACAATTTAACAATCAGTTTTTGTTTGGATAAACACTTGCTAGGAGATTTTATGAAACTCACTTACTCAGGGCTCATCCTTTCTTTACTTTATTCAATTTCTCCCCTTAAGGCTGTTGATACAATACCAATTTATTTACTGCTATTCCCAAAAATAACGCCATATAAGCACAATTTAATTCTTATTCATTCAAAATCACGAAAAACTCTAAGGAAACAATTTATAATAAAACGGCAATTTGTTTTTTCCTTAAATTTTACAAGCCTTATTGGCGTTATTTCTTACCAATTCCTGTGTAGCAACAGCCTTAAATATTTCATTGTATCTCAAATCTTGGATTCCTTACTCGAAATTTATTGTGTGCCGTGACATAAATTCTCTGCTCTCTTGCTCTTTTTCTCTCTTTCTCCGTCTATCTACACAGTAATCTTTTGTTCTTATTTCATTTTCCTATTATAGACTTCTTTTCTTATAACTCTATAATTTCTTTTCTTTAAATTGTACGACTCCAGTTCCTGAGTATGTATTATACACGATATCGTCAAAAAAAGTCCTGAAGACATGAAATTCCTAGATTTTTAAAATAAAAAAAAATCATTAATAAATAAACCAAAAAAAAACATTTAATAAGACATTTATCAACACTATAAACAAAAACAAAACCAACAAAAGAAAAATCCATTAAAGCATAATCAACTAAACACTAGAGAAGATGTTTAAAATTCCTGCCTTGTGCATATAAGTAAGCTCGTAATGTTTCCAAATTTTGATCATTTTTTGTAAAAGTTAGGCCTCAGTAATTGCTAAGATAAGGCTGATTTTGGCAGATGACATACCTTCCAAGAAAAGAGAGGGTGGGTGGGCGGTACTAGTTTCTGCTAAGATGAAACTGATTTTTGCAAATGATATACCTTCCAAAAAAAAGAGAGCAGGTGGGCGGGGCTAGTACTTGCTAATATAATGCTGATTTTAACAAAAAAATTACGATTAGTGCTTTTTTTACTTTTTTCACATCCTAGATTCTATTATTAGTTTCCATTCCTAATCGACAGAAGAACATAATTAGCCCCACCCACCCGCCCTATCTCCTTTTTAGTGATTGATTTTTTGGTATTTTAATTTTTCAATATTTAAAATTTAAAATTTTTCGATTTCTCGATTTTTCATTTCAGCTCTTCCATATTTCAATTTTTCAAATGTTTCGATTTCTTAATCTTTCGATTTTTCGACTTCCCGGTTTTAGATTTTCTGTTTTTCAATTGTCGTTTTTTCAATTGTTCGACTTTTAAATTTAAATTTTTCAGTTTTTTGATATTTTAATTTTTCGATATTTAAAATTTTAGATTTTTCGATTTCTCGATTTTTCATTTCAGTTCTTCGATATTTCAGTTTTTCAAGTTTTCGAATTTTTCAAATGTCTTGATTTCTTAACCAATCGATTTTTAGACTTCCCGGTTTTAGATTGTCTGTTTTTCAGTTGTCGTTTTTTGAAATTTTCGATTTTTCAAATTTGACATTTATATTCATTTTTTCGATTTTTCAATTTTTCGATTGCTTAATCTTTCGATTTTTCGACTTCCCGGTTTTAGATTTTCTGTTATCAATTGTCGTTTGAAATTTTTCGATTTTTCAATTTTCGATTTTTTAATTCCTAAAATTTTCGAATTTTGAATTTCTCGATTTTTCAATTTTTCAAGTTTTCGAATTTTTCAAATGTTTCCATTTCTTAATTTTTTGATTTTTCGACATCCCGCTTTTAGATTTTCCGTGTTTCAATTGTCATTTTGTCAAATTTTCGATTTTTTAATTTTTCAAATTTGACTTTTATAAATTCTCAATTTTTCGATTTTTCAATTAATCGATGTTTTGATTTTTCCATTTCTTGACCTTCGAGTGTTTCTATTTTCCTGTTCTTCAATTCTTTAATCTTTTTATTTTTCAGGTTTTTGATTTTTCAATGTTTCGATTTTTTAAGGTTTCTATTTTTCGACTTCACTTTTTTGGTTTTTGATTTTTCAGTTTTTAGATATTTCAGTTTTAGGATTTTTTAATATTTCAAATTCTTCGGCTTTTCTATTTTTGACTTCTGGGTTTTCGATGTATCTACCTTTTTATTTTTTCGATTTTTCGGTTTTTGGATTTTTAAATTTTAGATTTTTCAATCTTTTGATATTTTAATTTTTCAGTATTTCTTAATTTTTCTATTTTTCGACTTCCTGGTTTTAGATGTTGTTTTTCAATTTTTCGATTTGTTAATTTTTCATTCCCGATTTATCGAGATTTGATTGTTCAGGTTTTCGATTTATCATTTTCTCAATTTTTTATTTTGGCCTATTTCGGTTTCTCAGTTTTCCAGTTTTTCCAAGTTTTCAACTTTTAACTTTTTCTCAATTTCTCTATTTTTCGATTTCATCATTTGTCGATTTCTCGTTCTTTGGATCTTTCAATCTCTCAATTTTTCAATTTTTCGAATTTTGAAGTTTTTTGATTTCTCGATTTATCGATATTTTGATTGTCAATTTCTCAATTTATAAATTGTTCAATTTTTAACTTTTCGATTTTGACCTATTTCGGTTTCTCAATTGTTCGACTTTTCGACTCCACGATTTCTTGATCTATTGGTTTTTCGATTTTCCAGTTTTTCGATGTTTCGATTTTTCAGTTATCCGATTTTTTAAATTTGGAAGTTTCGATTTCTCGATTTTTCGGTATTCGATTTTTAAATTTTACATTTTTTCGATTTTCAGTTCTTCGATATTTCGATTTTTCAATGTTTCGATTTTACGATTATTAGATTTCTCGATTTTTTGATTATTTTAATTGTTCATAAATAAATCAAGTTTGGAATTGTAATGAAAAAAACTTCTACAGTCTGTACAAAATTTATTTAGAGTCGTAATACATCTGTAAATCAAAACACATTGAATGAAATTTCAATAAATATAATAAAAAATTCCAAGTGATGCAACTGCCCAAATTTGACGAAAAAGGTGCGTCCACAGGATGCAATCCATAAAATTCAAAGTAGTAATCGTCCGCTGCCACGTTCGCTCCACATGGACGCACCTTCACAAAATGTAAAAAGTTAAACAAAATCTCGTAATTTCACTCCAATACGTTACACATAGAGTTAAAACCTCATCACATAGGATCTACCGTCATTAACTAGATACGTACAGTACACATAAAAATAAAGAAAAATTTTAAAACTTCATCATTTATAAATATTCTGTCTTAAATTCGTACTTCTACTAATCATTTACAAGGCCATATTTCTTCCTTCGATCGAAATTTCTACGGCTCGTCTGGGTTGCTTCAACCGCTTACCATCCAAGAAGTTCTTGTAGTGTTTTTCAAACCTGTTCATTTGTTTTTTCGACGACTGAAAAATCACAATTATAATTTTTTAAAAACAACGAAAAATCGTACTTACTCTACTAATGTCTACTTCAGAATTCCATTTCGGACGAACTAGATAGTCTTTGTTGGAAGGCATAGGAACTCTAGCTCTTGCCACCCACCCTTTGTCGCCGGGTCTCAAAGGTCTGCAAAACGTCATTAACTAACCACAACACACTTACAAAAAAAACCGACTTACTTTCCCTCAGAATTCAACGCTTTGTTCAGTTCTTTCCTCTCAGAAGACGACTGTGGATCGCTCCCTCGTCGTTTTGGTATTTGTTCCAGATCTCTCTGTAGACGCTCTTCGCGCGTCATGGCTTTAAAATCTGCCGACAGATTAAAAATGGGTCGCGCCCACTCGCTTATCAGTTTTCCCGCGCGTTCCTTATTTTCTTTAGTTTCTTTCGGGTGTTTGTACAGATACATCACAGCTTTACCGATTCCAGAATGTTTGAGTGTGGAGTGATCTACCTTAGGGAACTGAAATGGGGGAATTTAGAGTCACACAACTGTGACGATTGTTGTCACTTACGTCTGCTAAGAGTCTCAGAATTGCCTCTCTGACTTGAAGAGACGGCATGGACCTATCAGGCATTGGTGCTAACCAGTCCGTGAGGACGCTTAAGACGTTGTGTTCGATGAAAGCCAACTGTAAGTCGTGTTTTTTCAGCTGCGACATCACTCTGTGCAGCATTCCGATTTTTTTCGTCGCGGGTTGCTGCTGCTGGTTGAGTCTTCTGTCGTCCTGAAGATTTCAAAAATTCTTAGTTAATTTTAATAATAAGTATCAAATTAGCCATGGTAATGTAATCTCGTTTGACAATCCGAAAGTCAATGACAATTCCAAAATATCAATGAATCAACAATGAAAAAATATGATTCGACGGAAGTCCAAGGGTTTTCAGAATTTTCGGTGCTATTCACATTAATGGTAAGACTTTTAAAATTTATTTTAAGATTTTCGAACGTGTACAACTTTCTGATTTTTGATTGTTTATTTAAAACATTCAAAAAATTTACAACATTGGCGAAGCCAAAATTTACTGAATAGGCAATAGTTGCTTTTTTGTAATTTGGTGCTTATTTTATTTTATGGCTTATAATTTAGACAAATTGACGATTTTACAAAGTATGGGGCAAAGAGAGTGCTGTAAACAAATAACGAGATCGTAATGATATCGTATTTTAAAATGGAATATACCGGGTGTCTGGAAAACGGCGGATTAATTCTTCAGTACGTTATGTACAGGGGTTTCGGAAGTCCAAAAAAAATTTGTTTAAATTATTTTTCATTAATAAATAAACCAAGAAAAAAAAACATAATAAGACATTTATCAATTATAAATAAACACAAAACCAACAAAAGAAAAATCCATTAAAGCATAACCAACTATACACTAGAGAACATATTCCTGCCTTTTGCACGTAAGTCAGCTCGTAATGTTTCCAAATTTTGATCATTTTTTGTAAAAGTTAGGCCTCAGTATTTGCTAAGATAAGGTTGATTTTGGCAGATGACATACCTTCCAAGAAACGAGAGGGTGGGTGGGCGGGACTAGTTTCTGCTAAGATGAAACTGATTTTGGCAAATGACATACCTTCCAAAAAAAAAAAGAGGGCAGGTGGGCGGGGCTAGTACTTGCTAAGATAAAACTGATTTTAGCAAAAAAAATACGATTAGTGCTTTTTTTACTTTTTTCACATCCTAGATTCTATTATTAGTTTCCATTCCCAATCGACAGAAGAACATAATTAGCCCCGCCCACCCACTCTGTCTCTTTTTCAGAGGTTGATTTTATCCAAACTGAATGAAATGAGTGATCTTATACTGAACAGAAACAATATAAAGATTTCCAGAGAAAAAAAATTTACACCATTTTGTATAAATCTCGGGCATTTTTATTATATTATTAATTTTATCATTGTATTTTCATAAATTTTAATATTCATGTTACTAGTTTATTGAACATAACCTGATGATGACGTTCATTAATAAAGTCGAAACATGTAACCACAACCATTCAGTCTCCTAATGATACACTCCAGACGTTCAAGAGGCGGATAATAACACCAAATTAAATAAAAACTTGAACAGAATGGATCTACAAAAATTAAAATAAGACTGAGTTTGGAAAATGAGATACCCTCTAAGAAAAGAGTGGGCGGGTGGGCGGGACTAGTACCTGCTACGGTAAGAATGATTTTGCAAATGAGATACATTCTAAGAAAAGAGAGGGTGGGTGGGCGGGGCTAGTACCTGCCAAGGTAAAACTGATTTTGGCAAATGAGATACCCTCTAAAAAAAGCGAGAGCGGGGCTAGACTTGCTAAGATAAAACTGATTTTAACAAAAAAAATTACAATTAGCGCTTTTTTTTAACTTTTTTCACATCCTAGATTCTATTATTAGTTTCCATTTCCACTCGACAGATGAACATAATTAGCCCCGCCCACCCACCCTGTCTCTTTTTCAGTGATTGATTTTATACAAACTGAATGAAACGAATGATCTTATACTGAACAGAAACAAAATAAGACCAATTTTAGCAAATGAGATACCCTCTAAGAAAAGAAAGGGCGGGTGGGCGGGGCTAGTACTTGCCAAAATAAAACTGATTCTAACAAAAAAAATACGATTATCGTTTTTTTTTTTACTTTTTTCACATCCTAGATTCTATTATTAGTTTCCATTCCCATTCCCATTCGACAGAAGAACATAAATAGCCCCGCCCACCCACCCTGTCTCTTTTTCAGAGGTTGATTTTATCCAAACTGAATGAAATGAGTGATCTTATATTGAACAGAAACAATATAAAGATTCCGAGAGAAAAAAAATGACACCATTTTGTATAAACCTCGGGCATTTTAATTATATTATTAATTTTGTCATTGTATTTTCATAAATTTTAATATCCATGTTACTAGTTTGTTGAACATAACCTGATGATGACGTTAATCAATAAAGTCGAAACATGTAACCACAACCATTCAGTCTCCTAATGATACACTCCAGATGTTCAAGAGGCGGATAATAACACCAAATTAAATAGAAACTTGAACAGAATGGATCTCCAAAAATTAAAATAAGACTGATTTTGGCAAATGAGACACCCTCTAAGAAAAGAGTGGGCGGGTGGGCGGAGCTAGTACCTGCTACGATAAGAGTGATTTTGCAAATGAGATACCTTCTAAGAAAAGAGAGGGCGGGTGGGTGGGGCTAATACGTGCTCAGGTAAAACTGATTTTGGCAAATGAGATTTCCTCTAAGAAAAACGAGGGCGGGTGGGAGGGGCTAGTACCTGCTAAGATAAGAGTGATTTTCCAAATGAGATACCTTCTAAGAAAAGAGAGGGCGGGTGGGCGGGGCTAGTACCTGCTCAAGTAAAACTGATTTTGGCAAATGAGATACCCTCTAAGAAAAGAGAGGGCGGGTGGGCGGGGCTAGTACCTGCTCAAGTAAAACTGATTTTGGCAAATGAGATACCCTCTAAGAAAAGAGAGGGCGGGGGGCGGGGCTAGTACCTGCTAAGATAAGAGTGATTTTGCAAATGACGTATCCTCTAAGAAATTTAATTGAATTATTATAAGACAAGACACTATAGGCTCCAAAGCACTTTCAAAGTCTTTTCAAACAGGAATACCTAGAACCTCAAGATTGGTTAAAAAAAAGGAGGGGGTTCCAAAAAGATCAAAATTTTACAAAAATAGAACAGCAAAGTCCCCCAAAATTGATTTAAATAATTTACAAAAAAAAATAATCTCCATGGGTTCCCAGAATAATACACCATGGGTACCCAAGTGTTCCGGAATTAAATACACAAAAACACTGCGGCACTCAAAACTTTTTCAAATTAAGGAAGTTATTATGAGATACTCGACGAGTTTAGAATATTCATTGCGTTTTTTATACATCAAAAGTAGCGATCTTTAATGAATTTATTCGAACAATAATATATCTTGTTTAAAATGTCTCTGCTGTCGCTAAAACTAAAAGCAGTAAGTAGTAGGTTATCCGCTGCAGTATTTATACTTAGTTAAAATTCAATATTATTATTTTAATACATTCATTGCGAACAGGATCACAATTATAATAATAACTTCATTGAATGGGAGTGGTAACGTTATAAATAATTATGTGCAGTTAGTTACTTAGCTTAAGTACATCGGTAATTTACAGTAGAGTTTCCATGGGCATAACAGACTTAAGGAATGACAAATTCATCACCACTGAGATCGGGGAGTTTTTTTTTTTTTTTAATATACATATATAGTTTTCTTTGAATAACATGATAGTTATAAATATTTTCACTTTCTTGTTGGGAAAAGAACACTACGTATATTAAGAAAAAATGGACAAAATATAAGCCCCACCCACCCGCCCTATCTCAAACGTGATGATTTTTTTTATTCATCGTGAGCCGGAGGGGCGGAGCTTAGTTGCAAAATTCTTATTTAAAGAATTAATTTATTATTAAACTTCAGAAAGAGGTAAAATTTGAGTTTATTAATTACTAAATCAAGTTCAATATCGTCTTATGAAGTCATTTTTTCCCGAACCATTTATCAACTTAATTTAAATTTTAATGTCCCAAAGAACATATCCTTACCTCAGCAGCATTCCTCATGTCAGCCAGCAATTGTGCTATAATATCATCATTATCGTTAATGATATCAATGTCTTTTCTTTTACGCTTCTTGGACTGTTCATCCCGTTTCCGTTGCAACATAGCATCGAAGTCCGACAACCCATCATTCCCATCGCTAAAACCACCCATCAAAACCTCATTTCCCTTTACCAGAAATCATACTCACTGCATAGGCCTATCATCATCTGAATCCTCAGACACATCAGGAACCACCGCATTCGCAGTCTCCTCCGGCGGCCCCTCAACAGTCTTCTCTTCTGAAGGCCCAGCACCTTCATCGTCACTAACCACAGCCTTTTTCGCCTTAGGAGCCCCCACGTCGCCCTCTTCCTCAGAATCCGACATCAGCCTCCTCTTCCTCCCCACAGGCCCCTCACTCCCTGAACGCGACCCCGAGCGCGAGCGCGATCTAGACCTAGACTTCGCCGAACCCGACCTTGAACGCGACCTCGACTTCCTCGATCCAGACCCCGAACGCGAGCGTGACCGCGACTTCGCCGAACCCGATCTAGATCTCCTAGAACCAGATCTAGACCTCGAACGCGACCTGGCCGACCCAGATCTAGACCGCCGTGAACCCGATCGCGACCGTGCAGACCCAGACCTGGATCGCCGCGAACCCGACCGGGATCTGGCTGATCCAGAACGCGATCGGGCGGATCCAGACCGAGATCGCCGCGAACCCGAACGCGATCTAGCGGAGCCAGAACGAGACCGTCGCGAGCCAGATCTAGACCTAGATCTCGATCTAGAAGCGGATCTGGATTTGGCGGATTTGGCCGAGCCGGACCTGGACCTCGACCGAGATTTCGACTTCACGGATGCAGATCTCGAACGCGATTTTCTCGATCCGGACTTTGAACGTGATCTGGAACGGGATTTTCTGGAGCCGGATCTGGAACGCGACTTCCTCGAGCCGGATCTCGAGCGCGATTTTCTCGATCCGGATCGCGAGCGCGATTTTCTTGATCCGGATGGCGAGCGCGACTTTCTGGATCCTGATCTCGAGCGGGATTTTCTTGAACCGGATCGTGAGCGTGCCGAAGCTGCTGATTTCGCGGATCCTGATCTGGATCTTGATTTTCTCGAGCCTGAGCGTGAGCGTGACTGGCGGGGGGAGTGGGGCGATGCAGAGGGTGATCTGGAACGTGATGCTTTTCTGGATCCGGATGCGGATCTGGAGCGAGATCTGGACATTCTTTTAGAGGTGGATCCTTGGCTGGGTGAGCGGGAGCGTGATCGACGGGAACCCGAGCGTGATCTGGAACCGGAGTGAGCACTAGCGGACCTGGACCTAGACCTGGAGCGGGATTTGCGTTCGTCGCCGCTGGCTTCTGGAGACGCGCTCCGCGATCTGGATCTAGAGCGGGAGTTTCTGGTGGTGTTGCCGTTCATTTGTGGAGAGCCAGAGCGCGAACGTGACCGGGATCTGGATTTGGAATGAGCTGGGGAAGACACTCCATTCGGCACGACTCCATCGTTTTCTATGGATTTTGAGCGTGAGCGCGAACGTGAACGATTGCTTTCTGTCGGAGAAGCTGGTTCTTTAGGATTGGCATCTTCTGGGGGAGGAATCAACGAGGTTAGCACAAAAGTCGAGAGAATACGCACGAGTTTAAATAGTTACCTGTATCCACATCCATATTTTACAATATTCTTGATTATAAATACTGGATTACACTACAGATATGTTAAATGGTTACACAAAGACTTGGCGGAGCTAACTCTTATGATTTAAACGGTGAAATGACGATTATTTTACAACTTTTCCAATAAAACGTTGCATTTTATTATTAAGTGTGACATTTTGTCACCGTCAACACTGTTGACTAAAATCACTAAATCCGCACAAGTAAAAATCCCCAACTTAAAACGGTGACAGTTGTCAAGTTTGACACATGTAACACGAGTTTGAAGTCCCAGTTTTTGTTAAATTTGGACTAAACGTGCGTATATTTTCGTCAGTCGTAACAGAAAAATCTAGCTTTTATAATACTGTAATAATTTGTTACGTACTTGGTTATATTGCATTCTGATGTAATTTGTGTGGTTATGTAGAAACATGGTCGAAAATAAGCCGGTGGACACGTCGGAGAAATCTGATAGCAAGAAAGCGGCCAAAAAGGACGCAAAAAAGGCTGAAAAAGCCGCCAAAAAGGCCGAACACAAAGCCAACAAAGACCAGTCTCAAACAAAAGTAGAGGATGAGAGTAATTATTTGTATTTTTTGGTGCTAATAACACTAATTGAATTGTTCTATTTATAGACGACGTATCCGTGGGAAAATATGGAACACTGCCGTTAATACAATCAGACATCACTGCCACAAACTTGGACCGAAAATTCACCTACGTAAAAGATTTGAATAAATCTTTATCAGGTTCAGGTGTTTGGGTGAGAGCAAGACTCCACACTGTTAGAGCTCGAGGCAAACAGTGTTTTATCGTGTTAAGACAAAGAGAGTTTTCAGTTCAAGTACTGGTAAATGTGTCAGACACGGTCTCCAAAGCCATGGTTAAATTTTCAAGCACGTATGTTGCAACTCATACAATGTTATGAAACATTGTGAAATTTTTTCTAGGATTACGAAAGAAAGTATAGTTGATGTGGAAGCTAAAGTCGCCCCAGTACCCACTGCCGTTGCTGGGTGTTCCCAACAGGACGTCGAACTCCTTGCCTCACAAATCTGGGTTGTCTCAGCCTCCGCCCCACAACTCCCACTTCAAATTGAAGATGCCAGCAGACCAGAGAAAGCTGACGTAATTAAAAATCTAAATCGTGTAAAGTCATATTTATGATAAATTTTCAGGACCCTGAAGGTTTGAACATCAGAGTTAACCAAGACACGCGATTGGATAACCGAATTTTGGACCTGCGCACTCCAACAAATCAGGCCATTTTTAGGCTAGAGGCCGGGGTTTGTCGCCTGTTCAGGGAGGTTTTAACAAATAAGGGTTTCGTGGAAATTCACACCCCGAAAATAATTCCTGCCGCCTCGGAAGGTGGCGCTAATGTCTTCACAGTCAGTTATTTCAAAGGCTCAGCGTACTTGGCTCAAAGTCCACAGTTGTACAAACAAATGGCCATTGCGGCCGATTTCGACAAAGTTTTTACAATTGGGGCCGTTTTCCGAGCCGAGGACTCAAACACCCACCGGCACTTGACCGAATTCACGGGTTTGGACTTGGAAATGGCTTTCAGTTACCATTACCATGAAGTAATGTTGACTATTGGGGACTTGTTTACACAGATGTTTAAGGGATTGCGCGACCAGTATGTTAAAAATTGCAAACCAATGTAATTATTTTTCCATTATTTTTTTTTGTTGTTTTAAGGTATAAGAGAGAAATTGAAATTGTTGGTCAACAATTCTCAGTTGAACCTTTCACTTTCTTGGACCCGCCTTTGGTTTTGCAGTTTGAAGAGGGGCGGAAATTGCTGGCGGAAGCTGGGGTTGAGGTGGGGCCTGAAGATGACTTAAGTACTCCTGCTGAAAAGTTACTGGGGCGTTTGGTGAAGGCTAAGTATGATACGGACTTTTACATTTTGGATAAGTATCCTCTGGCGGTGCGGCCGTTCTATACAATGCCTGATCCTAATAACCCAAAGACGTCAAATTCGTATGATATGTTTATGAGAGGGGAGGAGATAATAAGTGGGGCGCAACGTATTCACGATCCCGAGTTGCTGACAGAGCGTGCCAAACACCATGGAATAGGTACCTATATATTGAACTGTTGTATTTAGTTATAAATTTGTATCAATTCCGTGTTTGTAGATTTGCAGAAAATTGCGTCATATATTGATGCATTTAAGTATGGATGTCCACCTCACGCGGGCGGTGGGATTGGTCTAGAGAGGGTTGTTATGTTGTACTTGGGGCTTGATAACATCAGAAAGACTGCTATGTTCCCCAGAGACCCAAAACGTATTACGCCGTGAAGACTTATTCTCTGAACAAATATTTTATGTATTATATTCATTTTCAGTGCAAATAAATTTGAATAAATTTATTCACATTTTTGTTTTATTTTACAATTTGTGTAGACAACACCTGCTACGTTTGAGTGTTTGTAATACTCTCTTCCACTGCTTCTAAACATCCATCAACCATCACTTTATGCACTTTTTCGCCCTTTTCTGCTAAAATCTCTTCAATATTTCTCTTCCCATTTAAGTCAGTAAACCACTTGAGATTATCAGCAATTAAGTGGTTGTTATCACAACCCGTGCACTTCACGATAACCACTCCCTTCTGATACGCCACTTTACTTATAAATTTGGAGTTCCTAGTGTTGCACACTTTGCATGTAAAGTTCAGCATTAATTTTCCCTCCAATTTCGCCAACGGTACCGATGTCGATGCTTCAGGTTCTGGTTGTGTTTCACTTGGTTTAATATCGTTCTTTACTGTCCGGTTTATAAAACCGGTGTGAAACTGCTGAAGCACTTGTAGAGGTCTTTGATGGTTTTGGGTTGTCGTTGAAAAAAGTGATTGTCTTACCACTTGCTGCACTAACGTACCTAATCTCGACCGAAATGCCATTTTGACGTACTTTTGGTGTTAAACCACTTAAATTTTTGATTTTTCTACGATAAATCGGGATTATTCAAAATGTGTACATAACCTGTACGACATATGTCAAACTCATGGTACACGTGATTTTAGAACTGTTTCAGAGCATAGGCGTCGATTTCCGAGATATCGTGGGATGTAATGGAGAGAAAATTATCTTGATTTTTTTTTAAATAACAATATAGTTTTCTAGATATATGTTTGGAAATTTAGTTAATTCTAGTGTTTACTAGTGGAATTATCAGAGCAATGATGATGATGACGACATAAAACATATGTCACTTTTTTGTTGTTAGACGTTATTAAAATACATACACCGGGACACTTTTTTAACTCTGTACATATGAAAAGACATATGGTCTTAAATTCCATGTTCAGTTTTAAAAAATACACATAAATACATTGGAAGTAGGCAACCAATGTTACATCCAGCTTTCCCTTCGACTGTCTGTGATCCTATTAGGCCAGCGAAAATCCACGGTGTTTCCGAGGTGCGATTTGTTTCTCATTTATCGCGAACGAAGCGATAAATTTTCGGTGGTACGTCATATTTATCGTTATCCATCAAAAATGAGATTTTGTTTTCCACATTTATCACTTCGCTGACCGAAAATTTATCGGTTGGTCACCAGTAGCCATGAAATATGTAATATCAAATTGTCAACTTGTTTCGAGGTAGTGAAGTTCAACTTTACCACCAAGGTTAAAAAGCAAGATATAGGTTATGTATGAAATACATAATGGTAAAGTTACAAAAATTGCAAAATACATATTTCCTTACAAAAATTTACCATATGGAACATGTTTTAAGTTTCTTGTTGTGAAAAGAAGAAACAAAATTTAAGAAAAAAATGGTAAAATATAAAGACCACCCACCCGCCCTATCTCAATTGTGGTGATATTTCCTACAAAAATTTACCCACAGATTTTTGTTTTCAAAAAATGAATCACAAGATAATTGCTTGTAGAGAAACGATAATTTTGCAGTTAACTCCGCCCCCGGCTAACGACGAATAAAAAAAATCATCACAATTGAGACAGGGTGGGTGGGTGGGGCTTATATTTTATCTTTTTCTTTTATTAACTTACGTTTTCTTCTTTTCCCAACAAGAGACTTAAAACATACTCAAAGTGATAAAATTACAAAAATTGCGAAATCCATATTTTCCTACAAAAACTTACCATATGGAACATGTCTAAGTTTCTTGTTTTGAATTGAAGAAAACAAAATTTAAGAAAAAAAAAGGGTAAAATATAAACCCTCAAAATTCTTATTTTTCAACAATTAAGACCCACCCCCGACCCCTATCTCAATTGTGGTGAATTTTTCATTCGATGCAAGACCAAGGGCGGAGCGTAATTGCCAAATCCATATTTCCATCCAGAAGCTTACAATTTGCAATTAAGCTCCGTCCCCCGGCTAACGACGAATAAAAAAAATCATCACAATTGAGACAGGGTGGGTGGGTGGGGCTTATATTTTATGTTTTTCTTTTATTAACTTGCGTTTTCTTCTTTTCACAACAGGAAACTTAAAACATGTTCAAAATGGTAGTTACAAAAAGTGCGAAATCCATATTTTCCTATTTCTACAATTCTTTTATTCTAAATTAATATAAAAATACGGATGTTAAGGGAGAAGTAGTTATATTGTACAAATTGCTACTTAACGACTTAATTAACTTCTATAGTATTTTTCTTTGTGTACACAAAAATTTCATGTATTTTTTGTTGTTGCAGTGGGTTCATGAAGATGAGGAATTCGCTAAATTGTAGCAGAAGAAGAAGCCTAAAAGGTTAGATTTTTGAAATAATTTTAAATTGGGTGTTTTTTTAACATTATTTTTTTATCTTTTATGAAGGCTATTTTCATCGGTAATTTTGTGTTATTTTTTTGACAGGGGACAAAATTTTTACTTTTTCATTTTTCATCGCCTTATTTCAACATTTGCGCATTAAATATTGTTTAATTTGTAAGTGGTACAGTTGAGATTATTAGTTTTTAGTGAGAAGTGCCCAATCACATAACGGATTTTATCTTCTACTAGTCGAAAAATAATAAAAATTTTATTGAGTGTAGTGAAACCCCCACAGAAATTTCAGACATCGCCGCCTATGTCCGCATAACACGGGATATCACGGTAAGTGTGAATTATCTAATCCTGCCTAATCCCGTCTATACCTTAGAACAGACTCACCGACTGTTTTAAAGCAGATTTTAATTAATTATGATGATGATACACGTAATTTTTCAGGTAATGAGTTACTTAAAATCATAATAAAAAGCGCGATTTCGCCGCCAAAATCTTCAACCAATCGACAGATTCCTCGTCTTCCAATTAAAACATCTCGACGATGATTGGCCCCTTACCACTTCGATCGGAAATAAGAAAACCATCTGACAGCTGTCAAAGTGGTCAAATTCAAAGTCGCCAACATGGCGTTAAATTTCAAGTAAGTCAAATATAATTATCAGAAATTAACACAAAACGTGCAATTTATGATATGTTTACATATAGTTGACACATAAGTACACCATTATATAACCATTCAACTTTCTAAACGCCTTGCAGCCAATTCCACTACATATGTGGTTACCGGCACTTTCCACTCTAATAACTCATGGTTTTTTATTCACAGGTGTGTATATATTATCGTGGTAGCACTCGCAATAACTTCAGCCGTCGATAAGGGCAATTTTAAAAGTTGTGAACAGAGCAGTTTCTGCAGGTGCGTTTTCAATTCTTCATTTTAACTTTTTGATTATTTCAACCATTTTCAGACGTTTAAGAAACGCTAAACCACAAGATGCAGATTTCGTTTTAAATTTAGACACCCTACACGTTTCTGACAACGCCGTCGAAGCAGAACTAAGAAATGAGGAAGCTGAAGCCACTTTCAAGTTTGTCTTGACTTCGCTCCATGGAAATATCTTCCGCGTGTTTATTGACGAAGAAAAACCGCTACATTCACGCTATCAAGTGGACGGGGCACTAAACGGGGAACTACAAGTCGCCAAGTACTCAACAACCCATATAAAAACAAAACGCGTTTTTCAATGTCAATTTTTTATAGGTTAGAAGTACTAGAACGCGACAAAGAAAAAGTTGTCGTCCGTTCTGGCGACAACAAAGCCGTCATTACAGCGGAACCCATCAGAATCGAATTCTTCAAAAATGACGTTCTCGTGGCGGTTGTCAATGACAAGGGTTTGTTCAATATGGAGCACCTTCGCCCCAAAGCGTCCGAAGGGTTGGTGGTAAAATTGGGAAAATTTATGCGCTATTTGTCGATTTTTAGCGAGGGTGAAGCTGAACATACTAAAGAAGATCCAGGAGCGTGGGAGGAGAATTTCAAGTCTCATCATGATAGTAAACCTAGAGGGCCTGAAGCTGTGGGGGTTGACGTGACTTTCCCGGGAGCTTTGAGGATTTATGGGCTGCCGGAACACGCAGATAAGCTGGCTTTGAGGACTACGCAGTCTGGGGGGCTTGATCCCTACCGGTTGTACAATTTGGATGTGTTTGAGTATGAAGTGGACTCTACAATGGCGCTGTATGGGGCGATCCCGGTTGTTTATGCACATTCGTGAGTTTCTCTTTGTATTTGTAGACACTAAACAAATATTTGTATTTTTTTATTTTAATTTAGCGACAAAAATACAGTGGGTGCTTTCTGGCACAACGCCGCTGAAACCTGGGTGGACATAGGCAACAGCAAAGACACCAACGTCGTTTCGTCCATTGTAAACCTGGTCTCAGGCCACCAACCCGAAAATACAGTCGACGCCCATTTCATGAGCGAAAGCGGCGTCTTCGATTTGTTTATTTTGATGGGGCCCACCCCCAAAGACACCGTCAGACAATATGCTTCGTTAACCGGGGTTGCACCATTGCCACAGGTTCAGGAATTTCACTATTTCATAATGGTGCAAATTTTTAACTGAAAAATTTTCAGTACTTCGCGCTAGGCTATCATCAGTGCCGCTGGAATTACAACGACGAAGACGACGTCATTAATGTTGTGGATAATTTCGATACTAATGATTTGCCTGTGGATGTGATGTGGTTGGATATTGAGTATACGGACGGGAAGAAGTACTTCACCTGGGATCCTATTAAATTTGCTCATCCTAATGCGATGATCTCTAATTTGACGTCAGTTGGTCGAAAATTGGTCGTGATTATTGATCCACATATTAAAAGAGAGGGTGGATATTTTCTGCATGAGGAGTGTTTAGCCAATGATTATTATGTGAAGAATAAGGATGGACATGTGTATGAAGGTAAGTGGCGATGGTTCTGTTATTAAATTGTTGTTTATTTTTGTTTATTAAAACAAGTCATACAAAATTTGGCTTTATTTGATTATTTACAAATAAATGTGGCAATAACTTTCCATAATAAGTGAAAACAATTATGAGATAACAGTAAAATGTTACATCCATGACGAATAAATGAAAACAATTTGAAATTAATATTGTATATTGTTACGTTGTACGGGTGATTAAAATTGGCGTGGGTAAAACTCAATAATTTATTTCTTACTAACTTGAATTTACACGACTAACTATGTATTACAACGATTATGCACAAAATAATTCCGGCGCTTCTTGTCTGGATTTTCTCGACACTCGCTGACTGAATTCGACTGAATAATAATGCGTTCCCGAAGGTGGCCTCTATTTAAAACCGTACTTCTGCAATCGAGGTCTTTCTCGAATATCCAAGCTTTTCGAGCGCCGCTTCGAGACTTTTCTGGGCCCGTCGCGACATCCGCTTACAAGCTTTTCTTGGTCGGTCGATGAGTCATACTATATACGAAAAGAAACGCGTGCATACTAGAAGACCCATAGGCGTCGTACCGGGGCGGCGTATGGGTTTATTTCGTAACGATATGTTTTATATTGTCATTTTTATCTTGTTTATGTTTATAGACGTAGATGCGTTGAAATTTATTAAAAGATTTTAAAATGAAAGCTGTAAAACCAAGCACATTTTTTTTCATATTTTTTGTTGAGTTGATTAAAATTTTACATTTTATTTTTTCATTGTAAAGGTGGGTCACCAGTGAGGAAATTGTCGTTTTCTTCATTCTGTCGTTCTCTTTTTCAGTTTTCGTCTGTTGTACTGTCTTTCTGTGGTCGGTTCCTTTTTTATTTTTTGTTCCTTTTTTTTTTTGTCTTTTTTTTTGTGTCGTTTCTTCCCTTTTTTAAATTCTTTTTTGTTACTTTTTGTCGCTTTTTTGCTCTTTTTTCAGTCGCATTTTTGTTTTTTGTCTTTTTGTGGTCTTTTGTCGCCTTTTTATGCCTTATTTGACTCGTTTTCGTATGGCCCCTTTTTTTGTCGCCCTTATTTTTGGTTCTTTTTTCCTCGCGAGTTTTTTGTCTTTTTTTTGTCTTCTTTTTTTTTTGCCTCATTTTTTTCGCTTATTTTGTCCGCTTTTTTATCTGCATTTTTTGTCCTTTTTTTTTTGTTTTTTATGACCTTTTCTGGCATTCTATTGTTCTATCTTTCTGTCGTCCTGTCTTTTTGTTACTCCGTCTTTCTGTCGTCCTGCCTTGCTGTCGTCCTGTCTTCCTATCGTTCTTTCTGTCTGTCTTTCTGCCTCTGCTGTTTTTCTGTCGTTCATTCTTTTTTTTCTTTTTTTTTTTTTGGTTGCTTTGTTTTGGGATGTTTTGTAATATTTTTTCCTCATCCTCTTTTGTCGCGTTTTTGTCGCATTTTCTATCGCTTTTTCCCTCCGCTCTTTTGTTGTCTTCGTTTTTTTTAATTGTCTCTTTTTTCAATTCCTTTTTTATTGCTTTTTTTGTCGTGTTTTTCGTCCCATTTTATTGTCGTAGATTTTTTTGCTCTTTTTTAACGCATATTTTGCGCTTTTTGCTTTTTTTATTTTTTTTTTTGTGTTTTTTGGTCCTCCCTATGTATTCGGTTTTTCTGCTATTCTGGTGCGTTTTGCTTTCACCTTTTTCTTAGCACCTAGTTTTTGTCTCTTTTTTGTCATCGTGTTTATAGTTTTCTTATTGCCCTTTTCTTTGCCTCGATTTTCGTCGCCCATTTTTTGATTTTTTTTTCGTTTTTCCCTCACGGTTTTTTTGCCTCTTTTTTTGGCGTTTTTTGTAATTTTTTTTGTCCCCACTCTTCTTTTTCGTTTTTTTTTGTCCTTTTTTTTTCTTGTGCATTTTTGTGTCCTTTTTTTGCTTTTTATGACTTTTTCTATCTCTTTTTTATGACCTTTCGTGGGCCCCTTTATTGTCGCTCTGTCCTTTTATCGTTCTTTTTTATGCTGCATTTTTGTCTATCTTTGTTTTTCTCTCTGTCGTTCTATCTTTCTATAGTTCTGTCTTTCTGTCGTTCTGTCTTTTTTTGCTCCGTCTTTCTATCGTCCTGTCTTTCTCTCGCCCTGTCTTCCTGTCGTTCTTTCTGTCTGCCTTTCTGACGTCTGTCTTTCTGCCCCTGTCGTTCTGTCTCTATCGTCGTGTTTTCGTGTCTTTCTGTTGATCTGTCCTTCTGTCGATCTAGCTTTCTGACTCTTTCTGTAGTTCCCTTCATTCTGTCATGCTGTTTTTCTATCGTTCATTCTTTTTTTTTTTTCATTTTTTTGGTCCCATTTTTTTGGCGTGTTCTTTTGACATTTTTCCTTTATCTTTTTTTTGTCGCGTTTTTATCCCATTTTCAATCGGTTTTTTGTCGCTTTTTTGTAGTCTTTTTTTTATTCGTCTCTTTTTTGTTTCCTTTTTTTGTTGCTTTTTGTCGTGTTTTTCGTCTCCTTTTATTGCCGTCTTTTCTTACCGGCTTTTTTGGTGGTATTTTTTTTTAACTTTTTATTTTGTCGCTTTTTTATTTTTTGTGGTCCTCCCTATTTTTGCTATTTTTGTGCCTTTTTTGGTGCGTTTTTTTTTTCACCTTTTTCTTAGCACATGTTTTTGTGTCGTTTTTATCCCCGTCCTAAATTCTTTTCCTTTTTTACGATCTTTCCTCTCGTCTTTTAGCCTCTTTTATGACCTTTCTTTGGTACCCTTTTTTGTTCCTTTATTTTCGCTTTGTCATCCTATCGTTCTCTTTAATCTGTCTTTCTTCCTCTATTGTTCTGTCTTTCTTCCTCTATTGTTCTGTCTTTCTGTCTCTGTTGTTCTGTCTTTTTGCCTCTGTCGTTCTGTCTCTAACGTTGTGTCTTTTTATCGTTCTCTTTCCTTCATTGTCGTTCTTTCTTTCCGTGTATTTGTCCTTTTGTCCTTCTATCCTTCTGTCAATCTGTCCTTCTGTCCTGTCAATCTGTCCTTGTGTCCTCTCAATCTGTCCTTCTGTCATGTCAATCTGTCCTTCTGTCCTGTCAATCTGTCCTTCTGTCCTGTCAATCTGTCCTTCTGTCCTGTCAATCTGTCCTTCTGTCCTGTCAATCTGTCCTTCTGTCCTGTCAATCTGTCCTTCTGTCCTGTCAATCTGTCCTTCTGTCCTGTCAATCTGTCCTTCTGTCCTGTCAATCTGTCCTGTCCTGTCAATCTGTCCTTCTGTTATTTTGCCCTTTTGTCATTCTGTCCTTCTATAATTCTGACCTTGTGTCGTTTTCTTCGTTTTGTCGTTCTGTCGTTTTCATCATTCTCTCATTCTGTTTTTTGGCGTTCCGTCCTTATGATGCTTTTTCCTTCCGTGTTTTCTTCATTCTGTCGTTCTGTTTTGCTGTCGATTTTTTCTTTTTTTTTCTATTTTTTGTCGTTTTTCTTTGACATTTTTTCGTTTTTTATTTTGTCGCATTTTTGTATCATTTTCTGTCGCTTTTTCGTGCCTCCTTTTTTTGTTGTCGTTTTTATTGCATCCTTTAATTTTTTTTATATTTTTCTTTGTGTTTTTTATTATGGCCTTTTCTTGCCACCTTTTTTGTCGTATTTTTTTGTCGCTTTTTCTGTTTTTCTGTCGTTCTTTTCACTCTCTCTTTCTGCTTCTGTCGTTCTGTATTTTCGTCTGTCGGTCTGTTTTTTCACCGTTGTTGTTTTTGTGTCAATCTGTCTTTTTTGTCGTTGGGTTTCTCTGTCGTTATTTTTTTTCTGTCCATCTGTCTTTCTTGTCATCTTTTAACCTCTGTCGTTCTGGCTTTTTGCCGCTTGTTTGTCATTCTGCCTTTGTATCGTCTTACTGTCGTTCTGGCGTTCTGTCTCTGTCGTTTTGTCTTTCTGTCGTTCTCTTTTTCTGTTGTTCTGCCCTTCTGTTATTTAGCGTCCTATCTTTCTATCGCCCTGTCTTTTCTTTGTTCTGTCTTTCTGTTTCTCTCCTTTTGTCTTTCTAGCTTTCTGTCGTTTTGTCTTTCTAGCGTTCTGTCGTTTTATCTTTGTATCGTTCTGTTTTTCTGTTTCTGCCGTTCTGTGTTTATGTTTCTTTGTTCTGTATTTTTGTGGTCTTTTTGTCTTTATTGTTCTGTCTTTTTGCCTCTGTCGTTCTGTCTGTAACGTCGTGTCTTTCTGTCGCTCTCTTTCCTTCTTTGTCATTATTTTTTTGTGTATTTGTCTTTCTGTCAATCTGTCCTTCTGTCAATCTGTCCTTCTGTCCTGTCAATCTGTCCTTCTGTCAATCTGTCCTGTCAATCTGTCCCTCTGTCAATCTGTCCCTCTGTCAATCTGTCCCTCTGTCAATCTGTCCCTCTGTCAATCTGTCCCTCTGTCAATCTGTCCCTCTGTCAATCTGTCCCTCTGTCAATCTGTCCCTATGTCAATCTGTCCCTCTGTCCTTCTGTCAATCTGCCCTTCTGTCAATCTGTCCTTCTGTCCTGTCATTTTGCCCTTCTGTCATTCTGTCCTATAATTCTGACTTCTGTCGTTTTCTTCGTTCTGTGGTTCTATCGTTTTTAGCATTCTGTTTTTCAGACGTTCCGTCCATATGATGCTTTGCCCTTCTGTGTTTTCATCATTCTGTTGTTCTGTTTTGCTGTCGATTTTCTCTTTTTTTCTATTTTTTGGCGTTTTTCTTTTCGTTTTTTGTCGCTTTTTCGTGCCTCCTTTTTTTGGTTGCCTTTTTTATGTCTACTTTTAATTTTTTTGATATTTTTCTTTGTGTTTTTACCTTCGCCTTTTCTTGCCACCTTTTTTGTCGCTTTTTCTGGTTTTCTGTCGTTCTTTTTATTCTCTCTTTCTGCCGACAGAACGACAGAATTCTGTATTTTGTCTGTCGCTCTGTCTTTCCATCGTTGTTTTTTTTCTGTCGATCTGTCTTTTTGTTGTTGGATTTCTCTGTCGTTATTTTTTTTTGTCTGTCTGTCTTTCTGTCATCATTTAACCTCTGTCGTTCTGGCTTTTTGCCATTCTGTCATTCTGTCTTTCTACCATCTTTCCGTCGTTGTGGTGTTTTTCTATCCTTCTGTCTTTTTGTGTTTCTGTCGTCTTGTCGTTCTGTCATTCTGTCGTTTTGTCTTTCTATCGTTCTGTCGTTCTGTTATCTAGCGTTCTGTCGTTTTGTCTTTCTAGCATTCCGTCCCTCTGTCTTTGTATTGTTCTGTTTTTCTGTTTCTGCCCTTCTGTGTTTATGTTTCTTTGTTCTGTATTTCTATGGTCCTATCATTCCTTCGTTCTGTTCTATCGTTTTATCATTCTGTCGTTCTGTTCTGTCTTTCTCTCTTCCTGTCGTTCTGTCTTTTTTGTTTCTGCCGTTGTCTTTCTTTAATTTGACTTTCTACCTCTATTGTTCAACTTTTTCGCCGTTCTGCCTTCGTGTTCTGGTCTTTTGTCATTCTGTCATTAGTCTGTCCTTCTGTCTTCCTGTAGTTCTGTTTTCTTGTCGTTCTGTCGTTGTATACTTCTCTAACCGCTTCCTATTCTAGAATGCTTTCGATAATACTTCGCATTATCACATGTATTATTTCATTATTCAGAAAAATTTTCAATGCAAATTTATTTTATAATTATTTAAATTGAAGAGTCACCAGCTTTTTGGTGGGGATAAATACATAATTTTTGTTATGCACATTGTAACACTAATCGCAACATTACCAGAATTTCAGGCAACTGTGATAATCGTAAAAATAAGTCAGTTATAATTTTTTTTTTGAGAAATTACGTCATCAGCCGGTATGAAGGGGATCAACAGATAATTTTCACTAAATGTGAGATTTATATAATAATTTTTAAGAAGACGTCATGAAAATCTTGATCCATATTAAAATATCACCTAAATGAATTATTTAAAGAGTGCAAACATTTTGTCCCCAGGTTGGTGTTGGCCCGGCTCCAGCAGCTACCCCGACCTCCTCGACCCCAAAGTCCAGGACTACTACAAAGGCCTGTACAGCCTGGACAAATTCCACGGAACAACGTCGGACGTCCACATCTGGAACGACATGAACGAACCGTCAGTTTTCAACGGCCCGGAAGTCACAATGCCCAAAGACTGCAAACACTACGGCAACTGGGAGCACAGACACATCCACAACATCTACGGCCTCCTCTACGTAACACACAAAATCCAGCGTTTTTCATACCAGAAACACGTTTTTTCTTTGTAGACCAAAATCACCTACGACGGTCTCATCGAGCGCTCTCCCGACCGCAGACCCTTCATTTTAACCCGATCGCACTTCGCCGGATCCCAGAGGTACGCGGCGGTTTGGACCGGGGACAACGACGCCCAGTGGCCGCATTTGCAAGCTAGTTTCCCCATGTGCCTGTCGGAGGCTCTGGGCGGGATGAGTTTCTGTGGCGCGGACGTTGGAGGGTTCTTCCATAATCCCGACACGGAGTTGTTGCAAAGGTGGTACCAGACTGGGATCTGGTTGCCGTTCTATCGTGCCCACGCCCATATTGATACCAGGCGTCGGGAACCGTATCTTTTCGCGGAAGATGTGCGCATGCGCATAAGGAACGCGTTGAGGTTGCGGTACGCCCTTTTGCCCTTGTGGTATACGCTGTTTAGGGAGCACGAAACAACAGGCGAGCCTGTGATTAGACCGCTGTTCTATGTGTATCCCAACGATCCTAATGTTGTGGATGTTGATAATGAGCTTCTCGTGGGTAAGTTTTTCACAAAAAAAAAAAAAAAAAAAAATAACGATTGTAAGGTACTCTAATTCATGTATTAATAATTTAAAAAAAAGGAGATCGAATTTTGGCCCGGCCTGTAACCGAAGCTGGAGTTTCGTCCGTCAGCGTGTACTTACCTGGAGGTGCCAATGAGTTTTGGTACGACGTTGAAGATTTCAAGCAATACCAAGGGACGGGGGTTATCACTATACCAGTGACACTTGATAAAGTAATTTTGTATTAATGAGGAAAATTGTAATCACTTGAAGAATATTTTTTAGAATCCTGCTTTCTACCGAGGCGGTAGTATTATACCTAGAAAAGACAGACCACGAAGATCTTCCTCTCTCACTCATCATGACCCTTACACACTATATATAGCCTTAGATAGCAATGTATGTAACACTTTCAGTTTATTGCTTTTATGTTTTCTCGACGTTTCATGACCCTTAGAGTATGAAAAAAAAGGTCCGCATTTTCGTCTGTCTGTTTCGCCTGTCCGAATTTTTATTAGACAGATAATCTCTGAAACTATTGGACTGATTGTTGTCAAATTTTGGAAGAATGTCCCCACTAATTTCATTTTTATAAAATAAGATAATTATTCACATGTGGTTTATGAGTCCGTGTTCAGATTCAACATTTTGCAATTTAATTGTGCAACTGCAAACTTTATTCGTTGATCCCCTTCCAAAAAATTGATGACATCACAAAATTTTGTACTGGAAAAACTCACTTGAAACAAACGCGTAGCATGCTTCTTTACATTTACTTTAATAGTACATCTATATCATTATTTTAACTTATAAGGGGTCAACAAAAAGAATTAATTCACAAAATCAAATCTTTTCGAAAAATCTTTGAACAAACTTTTTGATATCACTTTTTTTTTTTTCATTTACTTATTTTTTTTTCAAATTTTCTATTTTTAAATGTTTCTGTTTTATAATTTTTTTTTCTACTTTAATCTTTCCAATTTTTTTAGTTTCTCCACTTCCAGAGTTTTCAATTTTTTTTTCTTCAATTTTTCGATTTGCGCTTTATCAATTTTGTCATTTTCGATATTACAATTTTTCATTTTTTGATTTTTCAGTTTCTCAATTTTTAATTTTTCAAATTTTCAATTTTTCGCTTCCTCAGTTTTCCAAGTTCTTGATTTTTATTTTCACCATTAATTTCCATTTTCTCGATTTTATATCACAATTTTTTGTTTTTTCATATTCTTTATTTTTTCAATTTTATAAAAAGAAATATGGTTTTGGTTTATTCAGTTTTTCAAATGTTTTTCGATGCAAGAAAATTGAAAAATCGAACAATCAGAACATCCCAAAAAATTGAAAAATCTAAAAAACTGAAAAAACGAAAAATTGCCAAATCGAAAAACAGAAGAAACGAAAAATTGAAACATTGAAAAACTGAAAATCGAGAAACTTAAAAATCGAAGAAAATAAATTACTCGAAAATATGTAAAGAAGAAAAAACGAACCGAATCGAAAAATTGGAAATTCTAAAAATTGTAAAATCGGAAAATTTTATCTAGTTTTATCTTCCGATTTTTCAGTTTCTTAATTTTTCGATTTTTCAATTTTTTGCTTCCTCAATTTTTCAAGTTTTTGATTTTATGTCACAATTTTTCGTTTTTTTAGTTCCTTTATATTTTAATGTTTCTTTCGATTTTAGAATTTTTCGCTTATTCGATTTTTCAATTTTGCAGATTTTGGATTTCTCAATTTTCCAATTTCTTTAATTTCAAATCAAAAAAGCAGAAAATCGAAAAATTGAAACACTGAAAAATTGAGAAACTTGAAAATCGAAAAAGAATTAATAATCGAAAGATTTTTCAGTTTCCAGTTTCTCAACTTTAATTTGTTCATGTGTCTACATAATGGTATTTTTTCATTTTTTAACTTCTTGTTTTTAACTGTTCATCTTTTTAATTTTTTCGATTTTAATTTTTCACTTTTGCAATTTTTCGAATTTTTAATTTTTCAATTCTTCATGTTTCCATTTTCCCGAGTTTTCAATTTCCATTTCAAGTTATCGTTTGTTCAATTTTTTGCTTTTCGAATGTCAGTTTTTCGATTTCACAATTTTTCGTTCTTTCGATTTTGCAATTTTTTCGATTTTTCAATTTTTTGCTCAATTTTTCAAATTCTTGATTTTGTCACAATTTTTCGTTTTTTCAGTTCCTTTATTTTTTCAGCGTTTCTTTCAATTTTATCATTTTTTGCGTATTCAATTTTTCAAGTTTTTGATTTTATGTCACAATTTTTCGTTTTTTTTTTCTTTATATTTCAATGTTTCTTTCTATTTTATAATTTTCCGCTTATTCGATTTTTCAATTTTGCAGATTTTGGATTTCTCAATTTTCCAATTTCTTTAATTTCAAATCAAAAAAGCGGAAAATTCAAAAATTGAAACACTGAAAAATTGAGAAACTTGAAAATCGAAAAAAAAAAAAAATTAATAATCGAAAAATTTTTCAGTTTCCAGTTTTTCAACTTTAATTTTTCCATGTATCTACATAATGGTATTTTTTTCATTTTTTAAACTTCTTGTTTTTAACTGTTCATCTTTTTAATTTTTTCGATTTTAATTTTTCACTTTTGCAATTTTTCGAATTTTTAATTTTTCAATTCTTCATGTTTCCATTTTCCCGAGTTTTCAATTTCCATTTCAAGTTATCGTTTGCTCAATTTTTCGCTTTTCGAATGTCAATTTTTCGATTTCACAATTTTTCGTTCTTTCGTTTATGCAATTTTTTCGATTCTTCAATTTCTCGTTTCTTCAATTATTCGAGTTTTTGATTTCCAATTTTTAGACTTTTCAAAGTTTTCATTTTATACTTTTTCGCAATTTAATTTTTGATTTTTCAGTTTTTCAATGTTTCTGTTTTGATTCGAAAAGTTGAAAAATCGGGAAACTAAAAAAGTGGAAAATCGAAAAATTGCAAATCGAAGTACTGAAGAAACGAAAAATTGAAACACTGAAAAACCGAAAAATCAACAAACTTGAAAATCGAAAAAAAATCATAATCGAAAAATTGGAAAAAAAAAATAAATCGCATCAAAAAATTGGAAAACCCAAAAATTATAAAATCGTTTTTTCAATTTTTCAATTTCCCATTTCTCAACTTTAATTTTCCCATGTCTCTGTTAGTATTTTTTCACTTTTTAAACTTCTTGTTTTTAACTGTTTATATTTCTAATTTTTTCAATTTTTCACTTTTGCAATTTTTCAAATTTTTAATTTAATACTTAATGTCTGCTTTTTTTCGAGTTTCAATTTACATTTTCAAGTTTTCGTTTATTTAATTTTTCGTGTTTCGAATGTCAGTTTTTCGATTTCACAATTTTTCCTTCTTTTAATTTTGCAATTTTTTTCATTTTTTCATTTCCTTTATTTTTTCAGCGTTTCTTTCGATTTTATAATTTTTTGCTTATTCAGTTTTTGAAATTTTGAATTTTTGATTTTTCAATTTTTCGTTTTTTCAATTATTCAAATTTTTTATTTCCAATTTTTAGATTTTTCAGAGTTTTCATTTTATACTTTTTCGCAATTTAATTTTTGATTTTTCAGTTTTTCAATGTTTCTGTTTTTGATTCGAAAAGTTGAAAAATCGGGAAACTAAAAAAGCGGAAAATCCAAAAATTGCAAATCGAAGAACTGAAGAAACGAAAAATTGAAACACTGAAAAACCGAATCAAACGTGAAAATGGAAAAAAAATCATAATCGAAAAATTGGAAAGAAAAAAAAATAAATCGCATCAAAAAATTGGAAAACCCAAAAATTATAAAATCGAAAAATTATAAAACCGTCTTTTCAATTTTTCAATTTCCCATTTCTCAACTTTAATTTTCCCATGTTTCTATTGGTATTTTCTTAATTTTTAAACTTCTTGTTTTTAACTGTTCATGTTTTTAATTTTTTCAATTTTTCACTTTTGCAATTTTTCGAATTTTTAATTTTTCAGTACTTCAGTACTTTTTCTCTAGTTTCAATTTACATTTTCAAGTTTTCGTTTATTTAATTTTTCGTTTTTCGAATGTCAATTTTTCGATTTCACAATTTTTTCTTCTTTCAATGTTGCAATTTTTTCATTTTTTTCATTTCCTTTATTTTTTCAGCGTTTCTTCCGCTTTTATAATTTACTGCTTATTCAATTTTTGAAATTTTGATTTTTCAATTTTAAAATTTTTTAATTTAGCAATTTTTGGATTTCTCAATTATCCGATTTTCCGATTTTTTAAATTTTTAATACTTCGATTTTACAATATTTCGATTTTCCAGTGTGTCGTTTCTTCAGTTATTCAAGTTTTTGATTTCCAATTTTTACATTTTTCAAAGTTTTCATTTTATACTCTTTCGTAATTTCATTTTTGATTTTTTAGTTTTTCAATGTTACAATTTTTCTGTTTTTGATTCGAAAAGTTGAAACATCGAGAAACTAAAAATCGAGAAACGTAAAAATCAAAGAAATTAATGACGCGAAAAATTGGAAAGAAAAAACAAACAAATCAAAAAATTAGAAAACCCAAAAATTGTAAAATCGAAAAATTATAATAAGAATCGTCTTTTCAATATTTCAATTTCCAGTTTCTCAACTGCAATTTTTCGATGTTTCTATCATTCGTTTCTTCAATTTTTAAAGTTCTTGTTTTTAACTGTTCATCTTTTTAATTTTTTCAGTTTTTCGATTTCAATTTTTCACTTTTGCAATTTTTCGAATTTTCAATTTTTCAATTCTTCGTGGAATTTTCAATTTATATTGTCAAATTTTCGTGTGGTCAATTTTTCGTTCTTTCGATTTTGCAATTTTTGAATTGTTTTTCAATTTTGCAACTTTTTAAATTTTTAAGTTTTGTGATTTTTTTGTTTTTAAATTTTTCGATTTTTCAATTTTTTGTGTCTTCAGCATTTCGGTTTAATAAATTTTCGATTTGAATTTTTCAAATTTTTAGTCGAAAAACTGAAAACTAGAAAAATTGCAAATCAAAAATTGAAAAAAAGAAAAATTGAAAAATCGAGAAACTGAAAAATCTAAAATTGAAAAAACAAAAAATTGAAAACCGAGAAATTGGAAAATTCAAAAATTTTAAAATATTACACTGAAAAAAAGAAAAATTATAATATTGGAACATTGAAAAATTGAAAAATCCTACAAATAAAGAAAATAAAAAACCAAAAATTGGAAAATTGAAAAATTTAAACTTAAAAACCCAAAAAAAACTGAAGAACTGGTTTTAGTACTGGTTATCAGAAAAAAAATCGTAAAAATTCTTTATAACTTTTATTGGAATCCGGATGTGTCGGATTGTACTTTAGGGGCGAGGAAAGTTCTGTCGAAATAATTTTCCACCAATTTTTTTTTTCTTTTTTTGTGGTTTTTGTTTTAATGCAGTGTGTTTTAGAAATCAGCTTCCGGAACTTTGTACATAGACGACGGCCAAAGCTTTAATTACCGCAATAAAAAATATCTCTACTTGAACTTTGAATTTAAAGACAATACTTTAACCAGCAGGTGGGTTATTGCTATTATAATAGGACTGTGACTATCTCTATTTTAAAATTTTGTGTCATTTTAGCTTGATTGATAAAACCGATTATCCAACTGATGCCTGGATCGAGAGGGTGGTTATTCTAGGACCACCTGCGGGAATAAATAAAGCAAAACTTAACAGTAAAAGTACGAATCAAAATTAACTTAAGTTGTTAATAATTATGTGGTGATAATTTACCTTTTCAGGTTTAGGAACTGTGAGTTTGGAAACGTCCTATGACGGAGAAAATCGCTCTCTGACTGTGCGTAAACCAGGTGTCAATATTAGAGAGCCGTTTACTTTGAAGCTTCATTAAAATAGCGTTAAACGAAATTAGAAAATGTACCTTTACGCTATTAATACGTAGTAGTTTTAATTTGTGATACTTACATCGTTAATAGTCTTGATTGTCGCTCGAGAGTTTACATGTTTACATCGTTAATGTTCTTGATTTTCAGCCGATATTAAATAATTACAAATTTGTTTTATTTTCAAATTTTTACAGCTCTACCTTTCACCTTGATTTTTTAAAAATAGGACGTCACTTACACCCAACGTATGAATAAAAGTGATGTCACTTTTGTCGTAACTATCGTGCGTATTAATAAAAGCGGTATAAAAAATCGGGTGTCTACACACACACCGAGGAAGCGGTTTTTACGGTCAGAATATAAATAGGTTCTTTGCCACTGCCAAATGACATGTTTTTTTCAAATAAATTTGATTTTCGCTTCCCAAACTACAACTATAAACACGTGTTGCTTAAAAATAATACATCTGGGCAATTATTGTTATCGTGGTATCATCAAATTTCTCGAGCGTTAGTCAGCTTTTAAAACAAAGTATGAATCTTCAGCTATGGATAAAATTAGTGCTGTAAAACAAGGTAATTATTTTTTTTTTATTTTAAGACACAATTTTTAGGTCGGGCGCTTTGTTTGAAAATTGATAATCCGTGAATAAGTCCATTATAAATCATGTGTAAATTTTGTTGTTCTGTTGGATCTTTAAGGAAAAGGGTACGTGGAAATGTAAAATTTAACAATAAGAAAAAAGTGCTTGCAAAATAGCTTGTTTGGGTTTATTTTCAAAAATTACTGCAATTTTACTTAATTGTTGCTGTCTGTTATGATTTTTTTTGAACATGTTATTGCAATGAACTGGAACCGAGAAAATAAAATGAACCAAAGTTGGTGTTGTCTGTCAAGCTTTGGGTGGTACTACTGTCTAAGTTTGACATAAGTCAATGCATGTTTGTAACTTTCTTTTGTCAGGTTGACCACATATTTAAATTTTATGATGGCATACCTGATATAAAATTGACTTTTGGGCGCCAATTTAGTAGTTGCCATCTTCTCATTGATTTTTAGGCGCGCTTATGTCAGAACTCAAGGTCCCTTTATAGTGATTAGGTTAGGGTATATCATGACCTTGAAGAGACATGTTGATGACGTAGAAAATACCTCTTGCGCGGTTATTTTTAAATCTAGTTACTTTTTCCCATTACATTGTAAGAGCGATTTTGCCGAAACTGGCATTTTGGTTACAAAACCTTTGTAGCCAGGACGTAATGACAGTCAGGGTAGTTCTCAACAAGATCCTAAAAACCCTAGCGAGGTACTTTCTACGTCACAACCGAGTGGTGGCTCCCCTGCCCCCTGTAACAGGTCTGTCCACAAACTCGCTGTATGCACTAACCTAGTCACTATTACTGCCCATTCACAATGGACATAAGGCATAACAAGTACATAAAGCTTACATAAATACATAAAGTTGAAACGATGGAAAACGTGTACCCCTGTTCACAGTGGACGAACGTAATTCTTATGCTTATGAACGTTTTATGTAATCCTTGTGTGCGTACATAAAGTTGAAACAAGTTCAACTTTGTGCACGAATTACGTCAAAATTATGTTAAAATCTAGGGACTTTTGAATGCTGCTATTGAATTCCCTTTGACAGTTGGCACTTGGCACTTCACACCTTTGATTAAATTATATAAATTATAATCAAAGCTTCACACTGCGAGTCTGTTCTGTACTGCGAGTTGTCAAGTTCGAATATCGTATGAAATTGTAGGTTAGATATTTTGATTGACTCAGTTTGAGGTTAGCCGTTTTTATGTTTAGCCAGGAGTTATTCCGTTCTGCGTTTGCGCAGTTTAACAATTCTTACAGAGTTCACTCTGTCCACTGTGAACGTAGATAAGCATAAGCCAGACACAAACCAAAAACGTAAATTATGTTATGCGCTCGTTCTTATGTCTTATGTCCATTGTGAATGGGCAGTTAAGTAACCTTGGTCAGAACTGATAATTTTGACCTGGCATGCTAACACTGCTGCCAATAATTCAGAATTGCCAACTCAAAAAAAAAGAAATATCTCGAAAGAAAGAGGCCGAAAGAGACAACTTTAAGAAATGTTGAAAGATAATTCGAAAAGTAGACATCGAAATGATAAGCGGCCATCTTAATCATGTCAGTCAGGTATGCCACCAAAAAATTTTAAATATGTTACCAACCTGATTAAAAAAAGACAATCACAAAATTAAGTTTTGTGAAAATTACTCTGCTACAGACCGCAATAGTAAGCAAAAACCCTAAAGTCATGGTTGCAACTTTCCGGTTTTTGCAGCTTTTTATTTCTTCAATTTTTACTTCCCGAGCGTAAGCAAAGGAAGTATTGTAATCGAGTCCGTCGGCCGACTCTCTGCTTTTACGTTTTCTCGATCTTTCATGACCCCTAGAAGACGAAGAAATAGGTCTCCCATTTCCGTCTGTCTGTCCGTCTGTCCGTCCGTCTGTCCGTCCGTCCGTCTGTCCGTCTGTCCGTCTGCCCCCGGATTTTTATTAGACAGATAATCTCCGAAAGTACTCGACCGATTGTTGTGAAATTTTGTACTTATATTAAGAATATCATGTAGATGGTAAAACGCTAACCAAAATTTGTCTAATCATCCCCACCACTAATGCGATGACGTCACTTCAAAATTGTACATAGTAAATGGGTTTTCAATTGTATAAAATAACATAGTCCTACACATGTAGTTTACAACTCCGAATCGACTTTTCACCCGAAACGTCCAGATTTTTGGAAAAAAAATCAAAATTATAAAACAACATTTTGAAATTTAATTTTTAATCTGCTAACCAGAATGCTTTGAAATGTTGTAGATGTTTTAAGGCTATAAAGAGCATCATAAATCTTTAGTCAAAAAATATTTGCTTACCCCCTCCAAAAACTTGATGACGTCAGCTCAAAAGTTTGTGGAATAAATCATATCTAAAATGTACAAAATATGATGAGTCTGTACTTGTGATCTATCACTCCATTCATATTTTTTGGATTTGCATATACAGGGTGACTCAAAAAAATTAATGAATGCGTAAATATATTTTATTGATTTAATCAGGAACTACAAAACCGAATGCTCTGAAATCTTGCAGATGTTTTAAGGCCATAAAGAGCATAATAAATGTTTAGTCAAAATATATTTGCTTATCCCCTCCAAAAACTTGATGACGTCAACTCGAAAGTTTGCCGAATAAATCATATCTAAAATGTACAAAATATGATGAGCCTGTACTTGTCATTTATCACTCCATTCATATTTTTTGGATTTGCATATACAGAGTGACTCAAAAAAATTAATGAATGCGTAAATATATTTTATTGATTTAATCAGGAACTACAAAACGGAATGCTCTGACATCTTGCAGATGTTTGAAGGTTATAAAGAGCATAATAAATGTTTAGTCAAAATATATTTGCTTATCCCCTCCAAAAACTTGATGACGTCAGCTCGAAAATTTGCCGAATAAATCATATCTAAAATGTACAAAATATGATCAGTCTGTACTTGTGATCTATCACTCCATTCATATTTTTTGGATTTGCATATACAGGGTGATTCAAGAAAATAAATGAAAGCGTAAATTTATTTTACTGATTTACTCAGGAATTACAAAACCGAATGCTTCGAAATCTTGAAGATATTTTAAAATTATCATAAGCATGGTAAATTTTTGATCAAAATGTATTTGGTCGTCCCCCCTAAAAAATTTATGACGGCACCACAAAATTTTGCTGAGTAAATCCTATCTAAAATGTACAAAATATGGTCAGTCTCTTCTTGTGATTTATCATTCCATTCAAATTTTTTCGATTTGCATATACAGGGTGACTCAAAAAAATTAATGAATGCGTAAATTAATTTTATTGATTTAATCAGGAACTACAAAACCGAATGCTTTGAAATCTTGCAGATGTTTTAAGGTTATAAAAGCATACTAAATTTTTAGTCAAAATATATTTGGTTATCTCCTACAAAAAACTGATGACGTCAGCTCAAAAGTTTGCCGAATAAATCGTATCTAAAATGTACAAAATATGATGAGTTTGTACTTGTGATTTATCATTCCATTCATATTTTTGGATTTGCATATGCAGGGTGACTCAAAAAAATTAATGAAGGCGTGAATTTATTTTATCGATTTAATCAGGAATTACAAAACCGAATGCTTTGAAATCTTGGGAATATTTTAATGTTATTATAAGCATGGTAAACTTTTGTTCAAAATGTATTTGTTCATCCCTCCTAAAAAAATTGATGACGTCACCCTTAAATTTTGCTGAATAAATCCTATCTAAAATGCAAAAAATATGATGAGTTTGTACTTGTGATTTATCATTCCATTCATATTTTTTAGATTTTCTTAAGAGGTGGTTCAAAAAAATTAATGAAGTCAATTTATTTTATTGATTAAATTAAAGGCAACACTTATTATTAGTATTACACCCCAACCAACCCAATTTGGTAGACACAAAATTTGTTAAAGGAAAAACTCGGTTGAAACATAAGGGTAGCATCGCTTATTTACATCGACTTTAACATTACAGACCTGCATTTGTTTTATGCGATCACTTGGTTCCGCGAATGTGAAATAGACATGTTTATAATCAACCAATTGTGAATTTCACCGTCAAGAATTAAAATAAAACCCAATGTTTTATATAATAAGCGGAAGTCGAAGCAATAAAACCGATGGTCGTTTTGTTTACAGTTTCTCTGTTTGACTTTCACGTATGCTGTTACGCTTGTCATCTTAAATTAAGAATGTTTATACATAAACGATTTTCAGTTGCTGTATACGCGAGTAAATTGTTTCGTTATTTTATTGATTATAAAAAATCAATATTCAAAACGACCCAATTCATTTTCCCGAAAATTTGGGAATACAATAATTTTATTCTTAGTATTACACTACATCTATCCCAACTGATATACGTGTCCTTGCAAAAATGTTGATGACGTCATCGCAATTTTTTTTAAATTCCCACTACAAAAATGTAATGAGAAAAAAACACAATAGCCATGCAGTCGTCAAGTTTCCGACAGCGAGGGAAGTACTGTATAAACTCTTTAGACCAATTTTTCGTTTTCATTTTTTTTATTGCAGTATTAAAATTTTCAATTTTTCGATATTTCAACTTCTGAATTTTACGATTGTTTTTCGAAAAAGATAAACTTAGCCCCGCTCACCCACCTCTCTCCTTTTTTTCCTCTCAAATAAGAAATAAATCTTATAGCAAAGAGTATAACAAAAAAAGTTACGTTTAATGCTTTTTTAATTTTTTCAGTTTTAGATTTTTCAGTATCACAATTGTTCTATTTTTCGTTCTTTCGATTTTAATTTGTTATTTTTCTAATTTTGATTTTAAATATGTATATTACAATTTTTAACATGTTTTACTCGTCCAGTTTTACGATTTTAGAATTTTTTCATTCCTCAATTATTGGATTTTAAAAATTTTTCAATTTTTCGATTTTCAATTTTTTGTTTCGGTTGTTTACTATCTTTATTTTTTCAATTTTTCGATTTTTCATTGTCCATATTTTATAATTATTCTTTTTTCAATGTGAAATTTTTCAGTTTTTGGATAGATCACTTTTTGAATCAATTTTTCGGTTTTTCAACTTTAGGATTTTTAATTTTTCGTCTTTCAATTTTAGACTTTTCACTTTCACGATTATTTAAATTTTCATTTCTTCACTTTTTTGATTTTCAATTTTTCGTTTCGGTTGTTTACTTTCTTTATTTTTTCAATTTTTCGATTTTTCATTGTCCATATTTTATAATTATTCTTTTTTCAATGTGAAATTTTTCAGTTTTTGGGTTGTTCACTTTTTGAATCTCTAATTTTTCGGTTTTTCGACTTTTATATTTTTTAATTTTTCGTCTTTCAATTTTAACTTTTTGCACTTTCGTGATTGTTCACTTTTTCGTTTCTTCAATTTTTGATTTATTTATTATTTTTCTAATTTTCATTTTAAATATGTATATTACAATTTTGAACATTTTTTACTTGTCCAGTTTTACGATTTTAGATTTTTTTTATTCCTCAATTATTGGATTTGAAAAATGTTTCAATTTTTCGATTTTCAATTTTTTGTTTCGGTTGTTTAGTATCTTTTATTTTTTCAATTTTTCGATTTTTCATTGTCCTGACTTTATAATTATTCGTTTTTCAATGTGAAAATTTTCAGTTTTTGGATAGATCACTTTTTGAATCAATTTTTCGGTTTTTCAATTTTAGGATTTTTAATTTTTCGTCTTTCAATTTTAGATTCTTCACTTTCACGATTATTTAATTTTTCATTTCTTCACTTTTTTGATTTTCAATTTTTCGTTTCGGTTGTTTACTTTCTTTATTTTAATCAATTTTTCGATTTTTCAATGTCGTGGTTTTATAAATATTCTTTTTTTCAAGGTGAAATTTTTCAATTTTTGAATTGTTCACTTTATGAATCTCTAATTTTTCGGTTTTTCAACGTTTATATTTTTTAATTTTTCGTTTTTCAATTTTAACTTTTTGCACTTTCGTGATTGTTTACTTTTTCGGTTCTTCAATTTTTGATTTATTTATAATTTTTCTAATTTTCATTTTAAATATGTATATTACAATTTTTAACATTTTTTACTTGTCCAGTTTTACGATTTTAGAATTTTTTCATTCCTTAATTATTGGATTTTAAAAATGTTTCAATTTTTCGATTTTCAATTTTTTGTTTCGGTTGTTTACTATCTTTATTTTTTCAATTTTTCGATTTTTCATTGTCCTGATTTTATAATTATTCTTTTTTTCAATGTGAAATTTTTCAGTTTTTGGATAGGTCACTTTTTGAATCAATTTTTCAGTTTTTCAACTTTAGGATTTTTAATTTTTCGTCTTTCAATTTAAATTTTTCACTTTCACGATTATTTAATTTTTCATTTCTTCACTTTTTTGATTTTCAATTTTTCGTTTCGGTTGCTTACTTTCTTTATTTTTTCAATTTTTCGATTTTTCAATGTCCTGATTTTATAAATATTCTTTTTTTCAGTGTGAAATTTTTCAATTTTTGGATTGTTCACTTTTTGAATCTCTAATTTTTCGGTTTTTCGACTTTTTAATTTTTCGTCTTGCAATTTTAACTTTTTGCACTTCCACCATTGTTCACTTTTTCGTTTCTTCAATTTTTGATTTATTTATTATTTTTCTAATTTTCATTTTAAATCTGTATATTACAATTTTTAATATTTTTTACTTTACCAGTTTTACGATTTTAGAATTTTTTCATTCCTCAATTACTGGATTTTAAAATTTTTAAAATTTTTCGATTTTATAATTTTTAGGTTTTCCAATGTTTAAATTCGATTCGTTTTTTCTTATTTCCAATTTTTATTTTTTTGTCGATTTTTAGTTTTTCCATGTTTCAATTTTTCGTACGATTAACGCTTTTTTTATTTTTCACATCCTAAATTCAATTAGTTTCGACTTCTTGAGAGAAGAATATATTAAGCCCCGCCCACCCACCCCGTCTCTATTTCACTGATTGACTTTATCTAGTGTGAATAAAAGGTGGATCTTTTATTGAACGTAAATAAAAGGTCTCCCGCGATACAGATTCATTTGAAATCCATTATATGTATAATAGAATCAGATGAATGTCGAAAAAACAAATTTTATTATATATACCGCGTGATCAGAAGTGACTGAGTCTGAGTCTGGCAGTACAGATATGTCAAGCGATAAATTTAGGTTGTTTCGGATACATTTTACAAATCAAGTAAAAAAAAGGTTAATTTTGCCATTGTCAAATAATTTCAGCAGAAAATGGCTAAAATTGTCCTACACAACAAAAATTTGTAATAAAAAGATATCTTTTCCAATTTTGCATGAATTTTAAAATACTAACAACAATGTTTATAGTGTTGATTGACATTTCCTAACCTTACACTTAAAACAACATAACTTAGCAAGAAAAATTGAGGATATTTTGATTATTCTGTACCGAAAACCAACAAATTTATTCGGTTTTCATGACCATCCCTGTTGTTCTATTCCACATGTTTAATTTTTTATTCTGATAGGTGACAGAACAATATGATGTGTAGACTGATCAGTAGTACCACACATACAACTAGTCTCATAGTATGTCGTGATCAACAAATACTCTTTGTTTTGGTAGTAGAATTAACCAATTCTAAAAATTCTTTCTTGTACTGCTGTTGTCGAATTTGATCTAAGAAGAAGGTTAGGTTATGACATTTTATCAATAACCATTAACAAACGTAGATTTAGTCTCTAGCCCAATAGATAAATAAATATAACTGAGAACCATAACTTAGAAATAAGAAAAATAAGATTGGGTTTTTAGACGTTTTTCCTGATTTTGTATAAGAAGTCAAATTTTGGTTTACCATTTAAAAAAATTATTATTTCTTAAGGAATGTTTTAACATTATGTATTAATATGTATAACACGAATGGAAATACTTAAATATTTTATATTGTTGTTCCCGGCGCCTCCACCATATTTGTCGTCTACAATTTACTCCAAAATAAAATTTACCACGTGGTGAATTCAATTTAAAAAGGAAAAACCTTGAATATATAGTTTAATTATTAAGATTGACACGACAAAGTTTGAAAGTTGAAAGTAAAGTACGTTTTTTTGTATTAAAAATCCACCACCTCTTTGTGTTGGTAACACGAAATTCCCTAGTTATGTTATTGGGAGACATTGCGACGTTGGTGGACTTTAAAATTCATTCATTCCTTAGCTAAATGAATACTGTTTTATTGACATTTCACTTTATAAGATTAATAAATAAATCATAAAAAAATAGACACTGCATGCCGTATTTGATTTATATTGTTTTTAATAGTATAATAAATATTGAAATGTCAATTGATGAAAATAAACTAGGTATATTTATATATTTATTTTGAATAAAGGTAGGGGAGATAAATAATTAGACATGAAATAGGAATGTCGTATATTAATCAACATTTATAAAATATTTTAAATTGTAACAAACATGACTAGATTCATACTGATTCACAAAAAAATGACAATGAGCGGCGCCTTTTCGGACGCGCACGGTTGGTGTGTGTCGGCCAGAGGGGAGCGAGAGAGGGCCGGTCCCCCCGCCCCCCCTTAGCCGCAAACGAACGAAACAACAATAATAACATTAACATACACAAGTATACCGCCTGATACAAAGAAATGAAACCATTTTCGTGTTTTGATTATTGATTATCTACACAGTAATGATTATTTAGCATTCGAATTCGATTTAAATAGTGATATATTGCGAGGGTGGGGCGCGTGCGGCCGCAGGTCGGTGCCGGCCGGCGATCCTCGGGGCTCCTCGGGCGCCTTCGGCGGCCCTCGGGGCTCCCGGCCGCAAACGCCCGACCGGTCCGGCTACGCGGGTGGATATGTAACAAGGGCTAAAGCTAATCCAACCCTAGGTAAGCTTCACACAGCCCAAAAATACAAGCACTTAAAACAGTGCCGACAACTAATAGAGTTCGGTGGTGAGCACACTACACAGCATTCATCGACGCGCCACGACGCGGGCGCTGACAAGGCCTTACGGGAGACTAAAGCCCCATTTCACGACCTGCGAATCCTTTCGGTCCACGTGACTCTACGCTCGACAGACCACACCCTGTATATCGACGTCAGGCATGCATACAGCGACAAACTGCACTGGTTTTCCTAGACGGAGGGCTTTCAGAGCACCCGGTACAGTACTGACGCGCAAGACAGAGTCTGAAGAGGAACGGACAGATAGATCAAACACATGGCAGAAACGTTGCACTCTAAAACCATACTTCCTTTTAAAATACACACGTCGGACTTCGTTAGACATATTTAAACGTTTCTACCACGTTGGACAAATTTTCGTACAATATTTTTGACTATAATTTTCGAAAAATTAAAAAAAACAAAACGAACACAACAATCAAAATTATTTAACTAGTACTTGGAAATGATATTTTTATGCGCGAAAACAGCAAAGCAATGGTAATTTTATCGTCGACAATGAGGACGTCACGATCAATTTTTTCTATGATAGCAAGCTTCGAGTAAGTAATAAGTTACCTTACTGCACTAATGCGACAATCTGAAATTACCTAGTATGTCTAGGTTAAGTTAAATATCTATTAGAACGCAAAAATGCAAGTTTGATAGCAATTCTTCTTTAGTTTAGCGACAAATATAGTTACAATAGAAAATTACATTTTATGACATTGCCATGACCGTTTAAATTACGCGCCATATTTTCATTTCTTTCTCAATATTCACATCAAGTTAGTAAATCGATAATTTCGACTTAAAATTTACAACTAAATTATTGTAAGACACATAAAACAAACCTCAAATTTACAAAAATAAGATTTTTTTTAGTTTTACATCGTAAAAAAGTTAAAACGGTTCTTTTCGCCTTTAGAACAACTTTAACTTAAATATAATATAATTTTTAAAGTATATTTGTTCGTCGTGCAATATTGGTACTTAATAAAAACTTGTCAAGTGTTTTCTAGAAAAGTTTGCAGTAGTAGACGGAGAAAATTTATCTCAACTTCGCTAATTTTTACACACTAAAGCCCTCATTACACGACCAAATGCTTTACAAGGAAGCTTCAAGGTGACAGTGTTTTTATTCCTCTTCAAACACTGTCTTTTCTCTTGGTCAATGTTAACAATATGATTAACAAAACAAAAGTCATGCTACGTGTGTTCTACTCAGAAGCAGGGATATGAAACAGAATTCATAACTTGTGTAATTTGTGCTTAAGACATGATGCTTTTGTGTCTATATTTTATAACCTGTCGTCAGTTTGAACTAAGTTTGCTAATTTAACTGGTAAAAAATATTGTGAACCAAAATTAAACGGAGTTCATATCCCTGGCTAATGCTAACTAATACCAAATATGTTAACTAACATCAAACATATTTAGTTAATTATGTCGTTTCAGATGATTGTTTGACGACCAGAGTGTGCAAACACAATAAATGTGATGTAACGTCAAACTGTCCCAGTTCGGTGATGTGACCAACAGCCAACTGTCAATTTTGACAGATAACTGTAGACTTAAAGAAACAAAAAAAGCAAGCAACAAAATTTTCTACAGCGCGCTTTAAGTGCACAAATTTTTAGCAAATATTGTTGCTGCGAAGTTGGCGGAGATTTTGTTAGCATAAATCGATCCACCATTTAGTACTTGTCTGTAACCCAACTTAAGTAACTGTCATCTGTAAACTTACAGACGACTGCCAAAACTGGGAGTTCGTGTGTAAAGTTTACAGCTGCGCGAAAACCGGAAAATGTTCTGTAAATTTACATATTTGTGAACTTACAGACAAGTGGAAAGTTTTGGACGCACGCAAAAATGACTCTAATTGACGTGTTTGACGTTTTGTTCAGGTTGACCAACCTGGATTGTGTGTGACGACACGAGAAACTATTAGTTGGCAAAACTGCATTAAGTAATGCACTGCCTCAAACTTTAAGCAACTTTTAAGGTAACTGGTTGGTAATTTTGTACAATAGTGTCCACAGCCGACTAGAATACTTTTCCATGCGTCACTATAAGTCAACAAATCAGTAGTGGATTTAAAAGTTTGACAAGTTTGTATTTGTAAATAAAATTTTCGATAACAATAACTTAAGGTCTCTTGAGATACTGATTTTAGAACACTAAATAAAATAATTTTTAAAAATCTTATGGTACGTTAAAATGAAGGATATAATCTAGTTTGTACTAAGTACATGGACGAATGAGACCATTAAATACTGTTATGTTAAAAAAGTGATCAAAGAGCTGTGGGTACGATCAAACGTCAAATTAATCACTGAGTTTCACGCTAGGTGGCATTGATTTTTCGCATAATGGAACTTGAACATCTCAAATATTTAAATGTTGTATGTAGATACAGAGTAATGGATTCTAAAAATGTATAAAATACTTATGCTAATACATGGTTGTTATTTCTAACCTTATATTTTAAAAATATCTTAACACCTACAACTCTTACTATTATTATAGCATGTAAGTTAATAGACGAAGCCAAAATTTACTAGAATAGGCAATAGTTGTTTTTTTGTAATTTGGTGCTATTTTATTACTCAGTTTAACTCTACTAAATGCCACTTTGAGTCGAATCGTGTCCACAGCTACCTCGGATCACTTTTTTGTGGATTAGGATTGTCAGTGCTTGTTTTATTTGTTGATTTTCACTTACGACTCCACTTATCGCTGAAATCAGAAAAAGATGGAAATTCATTTTTTGGCTTATGATTTAGACAAATTGACGATTTTGCAAAGTAAAAACGAGATAGTACATTTTTCGTTAGGACAGGAATTGAAATGAACTTAAGAGTGGGGTTTGTTTAGATTGCGCCGTTAGATGGCGTTGAAGATGTCTCTGTAATTCGAAAATCGTCAATTTGGCGTGTGCAGGTTCTAGTTACGCTTGCCGATACAAAAATACGTGATCAATATAAAAATATGTTTAAAGACGCTTGTAGTTGATTTGTTCGTCATGATCGTAATTGCACAAGTAGGTAAAATTCGATGATGATTCAGTACTGTTTCGGGTGCTTTAAAAACCGCCTCTTTTCTTTCCCGAAATGGAAGAAAATAACCTTAAATTTACTTAAAATAATATCACTCTTACAATATCGTAACGATTCAACTTCGCTGGACCAAACCGTTCGTAAACTAAAAGATATGTTTGAGGAATCCCTTATTGCTTCTTCACGGAGTGTGCTGCAATTTGAGCGTTAGTTCTTGTTAGTACTGTAAGTATTAAAAAAATCGCTTGGTGTTTTTTCCCTTGTTTGATTTAGTAGGTACTTAAAAATCTCCGCACGTTTCAGAAGACTTTCGTTGACTTAACGATGCATTCTTTTTGGGGTTATATTCGAAGCGAACTTAGCTTAGAAGCGACATCGACTGAAATTTATGTAATTTTTTCTTTCAATACAACCGCCGAAAAAGAAGTGTTGAAAGTTGAGCTTTTCACGAAGGGTTTTTGCGAGTCCACGAATTGGGTTGTATTGATGTTTTCGTATACATAAGAGATATGTATTGTATGAGCACAAAACGTCTGAATTTAGTGTAAGCCCGCGAGGAACGAGTCCGGTCCAGAGAAATTTGTATCGCACATCCTTATCGATAATAATAAATTTTGGCTGGATACTCGCACTTCAAGAGTATTAATTATTCAATTAGAAATAGTGCAAAATTTGGTTTTTTCCTTAAAATCTATTCGTAAAGGCAGTACAGTTTTCTAAGCCATTTCAATGACTTATAGTAGTCAATCTTATTACAAATCTTAACATTTACCTAAATCGAAAATATCACTTTAAGGGTACAAAAACTTTGGCTAACTTTAATATAAACAGTAAAACTAAAGTAGGTATAGTAATGTTTAAGGAAGTTATTATGAGATACTCGACGAGTTTAGAATATTCATTGCGTTTTTTATACATCAAAAGTAGCGATCTTTAATGAATTTATTCGAACAATAATATATTTTGTTTAAAATGCCTCTGCTGCCGCTAAAACTAAAAGCAGTAAGTAGTAGGTTATCCGCTACAGTATTTATACTTAGTTAAAATTCAATATTATTATTTTAATACATTCATTTCGAACAGGATCACAATTGTAATAACTTCATTGAATGGGAGTAGTAACGTTACAAATAACTATGTACAGTTAGTTACTTAGCTTAAGTACATCGGTAATTTACAGTAGAGTTTCCATGGGCATAAGAGACTAAGGCTGCGGCCACACCGGCGCGCGCGCGCGGCGTTGGCCATCGCTCGTTACGTTACGTTGCGTTACGTTTAAGGCCTGAGCACCCAACTGTACATGAGACGTGAAGAATCAAGGGGATGACGTATAATACATATCAAAATGGCAGGTATTAGGTAAAGTGGCGTTTAGATGTGAAGCATCCGTCTTCGTGTGTGAGAGGAGACCGCTTTAGGTAAAATGATCTGGTAAAATGTGTTGTGCTGTATAATAATTGACTGGACCGACAGGACCGCAGACCGATTTGAGCGGGGGTTGTAAGGTTTGAGTTGCCGCCGGCCGATGCGCGTTGTTTTACTCATTAAATTACGTTATTATATTATAAGTTATTCATTATTTATAGGTATTTATTATTATGTAATAATTAAGTTATTATTATATGTTTGGCAGGATATCTCACCCAAAAACAATCGTTATGGTAATACAAAAGTACCGAGAACAAGTACTGTGAATTGGTAGCAGTATCTGTAAGCGTCCGGAGCACTGCGCGCACACACTTGGTTTTCCTGCTGGCGAAACGTGATGTTGTTATTGTTGTTGTTGATGGAGGTGGTGCTATTGCTGTTTGCGGCAAGGATGAGGGCGGCTGGCGGCGGAGAAGGGAACACCAACTTGGGACGCCGAGATGCCGTGGGCGCAGCGCATCCGTCACTGAAAAAACATCACTCTTTTAAACATCCCTCACTACCTTATTTCTACTTAATTAACACTAAACTATATCCTCCACGACTTCAACCTTCATACCGTTCGCTTATTCCACTATCTACTAGAGTTAACGGGACTCGCTAGACGAGGTATAACATTTTTTTGGTTTTTTTTATGAAAAAATGATATTAATATAGATGTATCATACATCAAACTGCAGCTTTTTTCATATTCTAAAAAAATATGGCTGAGAAATATCGTAAAAAAAGCACCATTGTATGTTTTCTTTTCAAGTTTTTTGAGTCATAACCATCATAGAATCGCTTGAAAATTCGCACATGGATAAAACATCACTTTTTACAGAGCGCAGAGTCATTAAATGTTTGTTACTGGTACAATTTGTTTAAATAATAATGTGTTTATTAAAATCAAAATATACCACAAATTAACGCAAAATACGTCGAATAATTTTAACAGGAATATCAGAGGAAAATTAATGATCTATTGGTTAGCAGAGTTTTTAACAAAAGCTAACAATTATTGAAAAACATTGGTATCAATTCGACAGAATTTGAGCAGTTAGTTCAGTACTTTGCCGATAGGAGCGCCACTAAAATTTACGGAAGCGACTTTCCAGGTAAAACCCTTATCGCCTGCTTTACCATAAGCTGATTGTTAGAGTTCTCGGCTGATTTTTCTAATTTATGGCAAGGAACTCAGTTTTATAACAAGCCGCCAGGACCGGCCGTAGTAATCTATTGTTAAGGAAATTAACTTTTACGCAATGAGGTACTATCATAAAACCGAATTAAAACTGGGGAACTATAATATTTTTACTTCACTCAGGATCCTGAATTCAATACACATGATTACTAAAAATTCATTGTAATATTATTGTTAATATATATTTTGCTTTGTTAATTAATAAAACCAATAAACATATTTATAATAATAATAAAAAATATATAAAATACAGCTTTTGTTTAACACGTATAAGTAGCTAAGTGTATCTACTACTTATCCCAGAAAGGAGGTGTTTTAAAAAAGCCCTACGCCCAGTAACTTCTCCCTTCATTGTTTACTCGAAAAAAGTGCTCGTATATGTTTTCATTTGCCGAGAGATCATTTTCAAAATATATTTATAATAAAAATATGCAAGTCTTGGTGATGAAAAATGTACTCCTAATAAATTATTAAAGTACATAAAAAAATAGAAACAAATTTTATTTATTTTTAAAAAATCTCTCGCAAAGGCAGGTTCCTCTTTCTGCCAAGTTTATCTGCCATCTTTTTACATATATTTCTTCGTCTTTATAAATTTTTTTTATATTTATTCCTTTGGGTGTCCATACAACAAAATAAACTTGTGAAATACCCGTAACAAGCATTTGTCCCTGGACTGAAGTAGTAATCATGATTCTTTTTTTAGTTTCAATTCTCTGTCTGTCAATGTACAAAATTTGATTTTTTTTTTCTATCCGCTCCTTCGGGAGACAAATCTTGCCATTTTGAAGGGCATTTAATTTCGACTAATGCACTCCTATCCTCTAGAACCTTGTCTGGACTAGCAGCCAAGTAAGGAAATTGTTTTGAAATAAACAAGCCACACCGTTCAGTTTTTATATTTTTATTTATTTCAAAACACTTGACAGCTTTTTCCTCACTTTGCTGTCCATAGTATGGATGACTGTTACCTCTAAATGTACTGTAGTACAGAGACTCCACAGTTTTAGCTATTGCTGTAGTCGGTCTAAGTTTGTAAATACGTCCAAAATTTGAAACCGTAACCCTAATTTCTCTTTCTTTTGCCTAAATGTGCCTGTTTCCTAGTGTCTATTTCAATTTGGTCTAAATTCAAAGATAATTTTCTCAAAAAAACCTCTTTGGCTGTCACAAATGTTTCTACATCCATGACAGGATTTTCTAAAAAATATTTAAACCATAATCGCAGTCGGGACCAGCATACGTAAATTTTTTTACGACATATTTTTTTTACGAATACTTTGTCTAAGACGAGCTTGTTTTATAGACGAACAATATTTTTTTGTTATTAAACCAAGACCGTTTTAATCACAATATATTTACTTATCCCCTCTAAAAAATTGATGACGTCACCTCAAAATTTTGCTGAATAAATCCTATCTAAATTGTATAAAATATGATGAGTCTCTTCTTGTGATTTATAATTCCATTCATGTTTTTTGGATTTGCATATAGAGGATGACCCCAAAAATTAATGAATGCGTAAATTTATTTTTTTGATTTAATCAGGAACTACAGAACCCAATGCTTTGAAATCTTGCAAATGTTTTAAGGTTATAAAGAGCATAATAAATTTTTAGTCAAAATATATTTGCTTATCCCCTCCAAAAAATTGATGACGTCAGCTCAAAAGTTTGCCGTATAATCCTATTTAAAGTTTACAAAATATGATGAGTCTATTCTTGTAATTTATCATTCCAGTCATATTTTTTGGATTCGGATATACAGGGTGACTCAAAAAATTTAATGAATGCGCAAATTTATTTTATTGATTTAATCAGGAACTACAAAACCGAATGCTTTGAAATCTAATGTGAAAAAAAACCATAATAGGCATGCAGTCGTCACGTTTCCGATAGCGAGGGAAGTACTGTCTAAACTTTTTAGACCAATTTTTTTGATTTTCCCATTTTTCTATTTCTCAATTTTTCAATGTTTCAGTTTGGGATTTTTTCACTGTTTCGATTCTTCAATTTTCCTTCCATTTTTAGGTTTTTCAATATTTCAGCTTTGGAATTTTGCAATGTTTCGTTTCTTCAATTTTTCAAATTTTTTATATTGCGTTTTCTCGGTTTTTAAATTTTTCGATGTTTTAATTTTTCAGTTTTTAAAGTTTTAGGTTTTTAGATTTCTCACTATCTCGACTTTTTAAATTTTAGATTTTTTTGTTCTCGATCATTCGGTTTTCTGAGTTTTTAGGCTTAGATTTTTTTTGTTGAATTCTTGGATTTAAAAAATTTTTGTTTTTTAAATTTTCCTATTTATCAACTTACTGGGAATGAATTTTTAGTTTTTGATACGATTTTTTTTTTCAAAAATTTTCAGTTTTTCAATTTATTAACTACGATATTTCAGTTTTACGATTTTTAAATTTTTTTATTTTTCGATTTTTCAATTTTTCGATTAACTGATTTTTTTATTTTCCCATTTCTTTATTTCTTGATTTTTCAATTTTTCGATTTCTAGATTTTTCAATGTTTCAGTTTTGGATTTTTTCACTTTTCCGATTCTTCAATTTTCTTTCCATTTTTCAGTTTTGCAAGATTTCAGTTTTGAATTTTTTCACTTTTTCGATTTTTCAATTTTCCTTCCAGTTTTCAGTTTTTCAGTATTTCAGTTCTGAGATTTTGCAATGTTTCGGTTCTTCAATTTTTCCATTTTTTGATGTTTCGATTTCTCGGTCTTTCAATTTTTCGATAGGTATTTTAATTTTTCAATTTTTAAGTTCTAGATTTTGCGTTAATTTTATTGTTTTCCTTGATGTTTTGATTTCTCGATTATTCGATTTTTCGAGTTCTCGGTTTAGATTTTTTGGTTTTCCAATTCTTCGATTTTTAGATTGTTCAATTTCTCGATTTATAGATTTTTCAATTTTTCGGTTTACCGATTTTTTTCATTTAAAGTGTTTCAATTTTTCAATTATTAAGTTTTCAATTTTTCAATTTTGGTGTAATTTGAAAACGGTATTAATAATGTTGAATGTAAATCATTTATTGACGTCAAGTGTCGGTCAACATTTATAGAAACCTCGGTTGAGTGTGGAAAAACAAATTTATGCAGCATGTTTTAAATTTTATCGACAATCAATAAATACGCATTAAACGAAAATCGCCCTAACCAAATTTCACAATTTGGAAAGAGCTCGTGTAAACAATAATAATCGCTAAAATAAAATCTAGCTCAACTATTATTTTTAATGACCGGTAATAATCCAGGCTGTTAAAATTTAAGTTAATAAAAACCCGTCCACACATTTATCTCCGCATTTACCTGATCACCATTTCCTCCACAATCGATTAGATAACACTACGCACTAAATTTTCAAATTACCTCGAATGGGAAACTGTCAGCTGCACACGAATATTTTATTTTTATTCAATACTTGTTATGTAACTTTTTCTATTTTAAACCGAGTTGGACGGTGTCAATGAAACAAATACCCGTATAATGTGTCCATTCAAACAGCCCAATATCATAATGAACGAGCAATGAATGAAGTGGTAAGGCGCTGGGGAGTCTATTGTTGTGCTTAATGTAACAGGTAACATTAAACTAATAAGAATAGACATCATCAAACGCCAAAACTAACAATTTTGGGGTTTTTCGCTGACAAAGTTTCCACCGACATGTGTTTGATGATAACATCTGCATGCAAATTTTTGCTTATAGAAATTGTTCGATTTTGTAATTAGGGGCTGGCTAAATACAAGGAGGGACTTTAACCTGTTGAACGACTTGAACAACGCAAACACTAATTTAATTGTGTTGCAGTTGGTTTTTGAATACAGGAATAGAATTATTGGTAGTTTCTTTAATGGAGTGCTAAAGTTAGAAGTATGGTGCGAATTGGGTTGCCGTTGGCCAAATTACGTTACGAGTTGACACAAATTTGTCGTTAATGGTTGTATGACTGTTACAAAGTGTGTTAAAAGAAAATTTATAGTAGAGTCTCTTCTGCAAAAAAAATTGTGGTTGAGTTAGCCTTGAACGTGAAGTTACATGTCCGTGCTAAACCCAGTTGGCAACAGTTTCCAGACAGACGAGACAACTTCACATCAAAGGATGTCTCGATTACAAATTGTGACAACTTTCAAGATATAAATTGTAATTGTGTCAACCGTCTTTGTAATCTAAATGCAGCATAATTGAGTAATAAAATAGAAATAACTTGGTCATAAATATGTGAAGATCGATGCTGTTTTAAAAACTACGATTAAATGTAACATTAATTTAAAACATTTTAA